CAAAAATAAAAGAGGGAGGGGGGAAAGTAGAAATAAATTACAAATTGCAGATCATTCAAAATGGCACAGGTAGTCATGGGAGGGAATTGCGACACATCAGAAAGTGGAGTGATGGGCTCTGTTTCAGTGGTGTTCTTTATTTATTTATTTATTATTTGTATTATTTATGTATTTATTTATTATTTGTACTTATCACTCCCCCCCTTCCCTAGATGGTCACAGGACAGGTTACCCCGAAAAAAGGGTTACAATTAAAACTAGTACATTGAATTCATAAAATCAAACCACATTATCCCAATCACCCATCACACACACACCCCCATTTTTAAATTGCACTTCTTGTAAGAATTTCTGTTTCCTAGCAACTAGAGTTAGTAGACTGAAAACTTGAAAATGGAGATTTCTGCAATGGAACTGCTTGCTGGTTTGATGTCTGGGGTAGTTTTGTGATGGTTATACACAGAGCTGGCCCTGCTATTAGGCAAATTGAGGCAACTGCCTCAGACAGTGTTTACTGGGAGACAAACGGGAATGGCAACCCCCTGCCATTTCTTCTGAGCGTCCTAGGCGTTCCGCTTCATAGGAAGACAGAAATGTCTGTGCCGTGCAGCCTGCTCTCTGCCCCCAAACCAGCCTGATTTCAGGTATGGTGGAAGATGGTGTCCTATCACCACAGTTAAAGTAAAAGTTGACTTCCAGTCCAACCAGCTTCCATTTGTGGAATTGGGGTGTGGGGGCATAATTTTGTCCTTCACCTTAGGCAGCATAATGTCTTAGTGAAAACTGATACCCTCCAACTTTTATATGATGAAAATAGGGACATCCTATTCCACACCCTCCAACAATTCTCCAATGAAAATAAATGTCCCCTCCAATATTTCTCCAGTGAAAGTAGGGACATCCTACTCCACACCCTCCAACATTTCTCCAGTGAAAATAGGGATGTCTTAAGGAAAAGCGGGATATTCCAGGATCAAATCAGAAACTAGGATGACTTCTGTAAATCCAGGACTGTCCCTGGAAAATAGGGACACTAGGAGGGTCTGGAATGAGACTTATTTGTTCTAATTAAAAAGTCTATTTTTGCATATATCCTGTATAGATAATATGAAAACACATTTGAAGATCTTACATTACATAAACTAGGGTTGCCATATTTCAAAAAGTGAAAATACAGACACAAAAGTTGTTCAGCTTTTTTTGGCAAAGTTGTTGAGGATTTTACTTTGGCAAAGTGCTAGAGGTTTGTTTTTTTTAGTTTTGCCCAAAGTTGTTGAGCTTTTTTGAGCTATATTTAAGGAAATTCTAGATTTCCGACATGGGACATTGCAGTGATTTCCGCCTGGACAATGTGTGTAATTACTTATTTACCAGGACTAATAATTTTATGTTTAATAAAAGAGACTGTGTACAATTGAAAGAATGATGTAGGCCAATCTTCTCCCACCCAGTCCCCTCCAGATGCATTGGGGCCTACAACTCCCATTATCCCCAGGCAGCACACCACTCACTGGATCCTGTCCATGGTGTGGAACCTCCTCTCGGCAGTTAAGACATCAGTTGCTAAGAAATTGAAAATTAATAATATTCCATGTCGTACTGAGACTGCATTGACCTGTTATGTTTGCATATGTCAAAGTGAAGCAATGAGGCAACCATTTGTTGGCATGTGGAATAGTTTAACACAATACATAAGTCTACATGGTCATGTCAGCAGTTCAACCTAGCAGTTCGAAAGCACGCCAGTGCAAGTAGACAATTAGGTACCACTGCAGCGGGAAGATAAACGGCATTTCCGTGTGCTCTGGTTTCCGTCATGGTGTTCCATTGTGCCAGAAGTGGTTTAGTCATGCTGGCCACATGACCCGGAAAGCTGTCTGTGGACAAACGCCGGCTCCCTCGGCCAGAAAGTGAGTGGAGTGCTGCACCCCATAGTCACCTTTGACTGGACTTAACCATCCAGAGGTCCTTTACCTTTACCTTTTTTTAGCTTGTAATTATATTTGAGGTGTGTGTCTGAGAGAGATAGAAAGCAATGTAAAAATGGTATTTACATCATTGGAGAGAAGAACCGTACTATAGCCTATTATAGCCTATTTCTTGGTGGTTGTGGGTGATGCTGAGTTTTTGAATGGGCACTTCCTATCCTTTACTTTTCTGGGCTGCAGGTGTTCTTTGTTTCTATTTCAACTCTTCCTCAGGCTTGTGGTTTGGGGGCAAAGCTTCTTTTGCTCTCAGTCTATATGAGAACCCATCTGAGCTGATAAACAGCTGAAGGATGTGGGGCACAAGGTGGTGAATTTTCCACTGAAGCTGGTTTGCACACATGCGGCCTTTTCTCAACACCCTGCCCTTGGCTCCCTCCCTCTTCTGGTACGTGCGTGTGTGCGCACATGCACACACCCTTACAGAGCGATCTGGTAGATGCCAGCGATTCAGATGGGTGCATAGGCTTAATTTAAATGAAATAACCAATTTATCCAGCACACAGAACAGGAGATGAAGGAGCCAAAGGAGGGAAACTGTAACTGTAAGATAGGGGTGATAAAAAGGGGCAGAAGGTTTGAGGAAGGAGATACAGATCAGGAGTTGAGTTTCAAGTGGAAAGAGGCAACCTTCATTTATTTATTTCCTTTGTCATTAAGATGTCATTTGATGTGGCAAAGGGAGCAGCAGTAGGAAGAGGAGCACGCTAGGCTAGAAAATGTCCACACTGTCCTTGACTGAGAAATCTGGAAAGCAAGCTAATTGGAAGTGGCTATATGAAATGGTAATGTAGCACCCAGGTTCACTGAAGTCCCCTGTCAGGCTGCCAACTGTTCTGTAGAGCAACGTGAGCCCTGAATGAGTCCGGTCCTTGTTATAAGCTGAAATATGCCTTCTATCTTCTCGAGCTCTGATCAGGCATGTGTCAGTGTTTTCACGCAGCCTGACGTTTAAGTCAGCTGGGCGTCATTTTAAAAAGTCAAATCTCAGTGCCAGGCGATGGGCCATTTCATAGATTTGCTGCATCTAAATGAGCTCAGGTTCGCAAATGACCAATTATAGCAGAAGTTGTCCTCCCCATCACCACCCTGGTAAGCCACGGCAGCACTTTGCATTGTAAATTCCTGCAGTGTCAACTTGTCGCATTCGATTTGAACGTGACACCAGGAGGGTTAGGAAAACCGACCCGTACAGTGTATTGTGTAGCTGACGTCTCGTATAAACTGAGCTCTCCTGCTATGTGTGCAGAGTTAGCATGCTAACGCAATGCCTGTCTGGGCCACACATCCTTGGCATTATATGAACTCATCTGGAAACAAAGAGACCTGGTTTAAATGAGACATCAGTTGCTTGGAGTGCTTGCAGTAGCTTAGGACCAGCCCAGTGCCAATAGAAAATGTAGTGATCTGCAATGCTTGCACAATCACATCTCATACACTTCTTGCAGTGGCAATGGACGTACTAGCTGGGGGAAGTGCTACATGTTCTCAGGAGCAAAATATTGTGGTTTGACTGCTGGGTAAACGCCATTTCATGCACAACACTTGTGATTGCAATGGATATACTTGCTGGCATATTGAGGGCCGGCAACCATATTTCCCCAATGACAACATCAGTTGAGGGCAGCCCATGTGAAGAACAGCTCAGCTGCACCGAAGTTAACTCCATTTGTATGTAATGGCTTCAGCACTTGTTTGGGTGCTATTCTCAAAAGTAGCAACACAGCAAAATGAGTGATCTCTCTTACTTGGTGCAACCCCACCCAATTTAGCATGATCATCTTCTACCAAATGTCTAGTTCCTTGTCATCAGCAGAGGTGGACAATTAGCCTTAATGCTGTTCTGCAACGGAAGTTGCTTGGCTTAACCTGGACCACTAGGTGGCAATACGGGCTGCAGGACATCACAGGACAAGTGACAGTGGGAGAAAGGAACCATACCCAAAATCTCAGAATTCAGAGTGGCATTCTGCTACATTTGACTCAGAAGAGACCCACTAAAATTAATGACCATGACTAAGTTAGGCCCATTAATATCAGTAGGTTTACTCTGAGTAAAACTTAATTGAATCCTACCCTTAGATTAATTTTTAATGCACTATAAAGCACTTAATTGCTTTAGGTGGAGGATTATCTTAAGCACCACCACACATTTTCAGTAAATCTTCCATGTTTAGAAGAAGTGTGCCTCTAATTACCAGATACTCGGGGACACATAACAAGAGAAGGGACTCTTGCTTATGAGCTTCCCAGGGGAATTTTGCTGATTATTGTTGGAGACAGTGTCCTGGATTGCATGGGCATCCAATCTGATCTCCAAGGCAATGGAGGAATCAGTGCAGGCAGTACATAGCACCTTATGATGCTCCGGTGCACTGAATCAGTATCTCAGAAGTGGGCACAAAATCCTATCCCATCAATATGCAGGAATTGTTAAACTCCAAAGAGGAGGGGGTTGTTCTGTGCCTCTGAATACTTTTCTTTGTCTTCTTCTTCTTCTTTTTCTTCTTCTGAGCAGTGCCTTCTGAACTGCACAGATCCCTCCTGTGTATCATCTCAAGAGACTTAACTAGTGGAGAGACACTCTCCCTTGGGGGAAAAGGTGATGCTCAGCATAAATAGATGTGAGGCAGGATGTATATTATTATGCTGGACAGCATCACGAGTCTGCAGTGCTTCTGCTGTGGGGGATATGTAGCACAGCTCTGTTCTGGAATGCAACTTTGAAAAAGGTATATATATTTGTACTGACTTGACATCTGCTCCCTGTCCATAGGGAATCTTATCCGCTGGCATTCTCTTCATTTGGAGTAACTCTCTTTGCCAGGCATTTACAGTCCCCTTGTCACATCTGTTATATCAGGGCTGGGGCTTTGTTTCAGAGAGACATGTAGAGGAAGGTGGGAGAAATGGGTGCATTCTAGAAAACATATCATGCATTTTGCAAATACTTATATTTTTTTAGATCCCTTTGGAATTTGTAAAATTAATCCCAATTTAGTTCTCATTTATTTCAGTGGGAATGAATTCATGGTTAGTTTTGCATAGATTCTAAAGGGACCCAAGTGCAACTTACTTACCCTGGATCTAATCTTGAACATTTTAAAGACTGGAATTATATTTCTTGCAAATATCGGACACAACATGTGCTGGCCTGAGGAGCATTAAATGTAAGAGAAATGCCACTCAGTGCTAATCAGACTCTGCCCCTGAGTCAGCCAATCATGTCTCCCTGGTGAGTGCACATGGGGTAAACGTTGACCACCAGTGACAGCAGGGCTTCTCTGGTAGAAGCTCCAATTTCCTGGAATTCCCAGGAAAGACTCACACAACCTCTTCCCTCTTCTCTTTCCATGGCAGCTTAAAACCTTTTCGGATTTCAGATTGCATTAGCTAACTGTTAAGTTTTATCGATTGGCGACTGCTATTTCTAACACTCTTTAAGTTTGTTGCTGTTTGATTGCCTCTCTCTTTCTAAATTTTGTGCGTGTTTTTACTGTTGGTTCTGTTGTTGGTTGTTATCGTTTGGTCCTGTTATAAACTGCTGTGGAATCCTTTTTGATGAAATGCAGCATTAATATTTTTTTTAATAGAAAATAAATAGCATGCACGGTACACGTTTGTTGCATTCACTCTTTTCATTCTTATGCGTAGACATCAAAATATTTTTAAAAAACGACTTTGTTGAAAAATGAAATGTGCTAAGGGAAGAAACCTAGCCCCACCATAGAGCTGGCTGAGGAGCCTTAGAAAGTGGCATAGCATTATGTATCTCTCTGCTGGCAGAGACAGAAAATTGCTGGCAGAATGGCATTACATTGCTAGAATGTCCCTGGCACACCAGTGAAGAGCACAGATGTTCCACTGGTGGGAGTGGAAACAGGGCAAGTTGGACATAGATATGCCACCTTTTCCCCAACCCATCCACAGAAATGGAGAAACTCCACAGCAGCCCCTGGGGCTGGTGCAATTAACCCCCTCTATTGTAGTCAATGGGAGGGAAGACAAACAGGCTGCCCCCATCTTCCGCACTGCCCGCAGCAATAATGGCAAAGCAATGGGTGTGGTTGATGACTCTGCAAGCCAGTCTCTGAAATGCCTCCCTGCTCTAGCATAGATGTAAATTAGGGTTGCTCTACTTAAGACCCTCTTGTGAAGATCTGGAAGAGACAGGGACCAGACAGGGCCCTTGAGAACCTCACAGACAACGAGTGCCAGAGACTGGTAGAGCTCAAACAGCAGTCGCTCCCTTGCTCTTGATTCTGGCTTCTGGGTGCCCAGCAGCCCCCTACCCCTCTCTCGCAGGCTGCACCTCCAATTCCAAACTCTGTAAGGAGAATAAAAAGCAGATATTCAAATCGCCATTATTACAAAAGTGCCACTGTCTACCTTACCATGCTGGGATGAGTAATAAGAATTTGATCCCCGCTTCAGGAGAATGCAACTCTCTTAATAAATAGAAGATGCTTGTGCTTGGGTTTCATCAGATACATTCATTTCTGCCATTAGATGCTTCTGGTCCTGGCTATAGTGCAGCACAAAGCGCTTTGGGGGGGCCTTACAGTTAACCCAGACAGTATACTCCCAGACACATAGAGCAGCTGTCATTGCTGTGTGTGGCTCTTTGGAAATTGCAGGATGCCCATCAGCCCCAGCCAGCATGGCTGACAGTCAGAGTTCTTCGGTGGCCCACAGGTTTCTCAGCCCTGACCTTAGACCATATATGAAGCTGCCTTATATCTAGTCAGAACGTTGGTCCATCTAGCCTAGCATCAGCAACTCTCCAGGGCGTCTGGCCAAGGTCCTTCCCAGCCTTGTTACCTGAGATGTTTTGAACTGGAGACAGCAAGGACTGCATCTGGGCCTGACAGCAGGCAAAGCTCTTTGCTGCCAGCTGAACTCTGGTTCTTCCCCAAATTTGCTTCTGTAGCAGAAGGAACTGCTGTCCTCCTTTCATCTCAGGAGCTCACAGGCCTTCACAAGCCCCAGAGCGGAAAGCTAAAACTGCTGTGAGGTGGGGCTAGTCCTAGCAATCAGTGCTCCATTCCCCACAGTGAGGAGAAAGCAGAGCCCCTGAAACAGCAGTTCTGGCTTTCTTCAGGTGGAACAGCCTTGACTAATCCCATCATGAAAGCATCTCACCCTTATCCAAGAAACCCTGGCATTTAATTAAGAGCTCTCCCCAAGGAAGAAACTGTCGGAGAGGCTCTGGTTCCTAGAGCGAGGACTTTGTTTTAGCTCCATCCTGGGTAGCAGCTATGGGGAAGTCTGTGTTGGTGATGTAACACCATTCAAGGAGACTGGCCAGTGCTTATTGCCAGAAGCTTCTGCTTCAGCAGCTTGGATTTTGAAGCTAGAAGTCAGCCTGCTGGGGTGGTAGGTATGTCAGTGTATCAACTGCTTTGTGACAGTACACTGCTGGCTGGCCATACAAACTGGGGAAAGGAAATCAATCTGAGGCCTCAGTTCTTTTCTTCACCCCCATAGTTATTCTCACAATAGCACAAAATCTCAGGCAGAATAAACACATGGCTCTGCGACTGCAACAAATTTCTAGTTGGTCCTGGGAATGGAGTTGGACACACGCATATCTTTGTGGGAATTGGTCTTCTTCCAAAATGCTGAATCCTTGAGGCCCAGACTGTGGGAACAGGTAGGTCCCTTTCAGTTCTCAGCCTTGCCATCACCCTTGGCTGTTTCTGATGGAGGCGTTGCTGACGACAGATGGAGCGGCATCATCCCAGCTGCATCCCTGCCCTTTAGGCCCACATGTCATCATAATCGCTGCTGCTGCTGCTGTCAAATGAGCTGTTCCCAGGCCCAGCCTTGCAGTTCACCAAAGGTCTGGGGGAAGCTGTCGAACCTGAAGCAAAGAAATGAGGGCATTTCAGGTCAGTTGCCAAGAAGAAGGAAGAAGCTCAGAAGGAAAAGATGCTGAGGGGAAAGCTGAGGTGCTTGGTGACCCAACTATCCAGCTGCGAAGCCTCTCTGGACGTCTTGCTGGGTAATGAGGGAGAAAACTATCGGCTTCTCAGGGTGGAGAGCTCTGGCCCCTATTCTTCTCTCTTTAGGCGATCTTGCTCTGCTTGACCATCACTAGAGCCCTGCATTGTGGGTTGCAGTAATTGGCAGCCCTATATTTAGATGAGGATGTGCGGCACCCACAGCCATTAACTGTCCCACAATAGGAATCCATTTTGTCTAAGCCACAGATGGCCACCTGGCAGCCTAAAGGTCAGACACGCCCCCACCCAAAGCAATGCTATAAGGCCCCTGTCAGCTCTACTGAATTTTAATCAAATGTCTGGCCATGGTTTAATGTGGAATATTTTTCTTTAACGTTCCATCTCTCTTTTGTATCTAACATGCAGGTACATTAGCAAATGTGTGTGTAACACAACGCCTGGCCACACGTGCTCCATAACCGCAAAGCCTTAATTACCAGATGGTGTCAACTTCATTACAGAGAATGACCTCACTTTTGAAGGGATCAGTTTGTGCTCATCTCTGACGTTCAGAGTAGATAGAACCTTGTTTTATTTTGCGATGACCTTTGAATGTGCTAGCTGACTAATTAAAGTTCCATTGATAACAATCCTATGCTTCACCTCCAAAGGAAGGCTCGTTTCCTGGATGGCTTTCCTGTTGCTCTGGTTTCTGGATGTTCTCATACCAGTCTGCGTCTCCAGAAGAGGTGCTGTCACTGTCTTCAGCTGCAGGTCCTGCTGGAGAAAACCAGGGACTTCATATGGCAGTGAGGAACTGGATCCAGCACAAGAAATCAGCAACAGCATCACAATTACTATGTCCCCCCAGAAAGGTACAGAAAGGCTCTCACCTGCTTGTGGATAGGCCTCTGAGGTGGGGTGCTTGTTGTCCCCCTCCTCGTGCATAGCTGGCATTGCAAAATTGTAACGGGGAGGGTATTCATCAGTCACTCGGTTTCGAAGAGAATCTGAAAGCAGGGGCCAAACAGACTTCTTCATCAAGCTCCCAGATGCAGGGGAAGGGGAGAAGGAGGTTTCTTTCAAAACACAGGGGTAGGAGGATCCACAGAATATCACTGTCACCCCCACCACCAAATGACTAAGGAGCACAAGTTGATTTGTCAGGAAAGTAGGCTATTATATATGCTGTATTCAAACAGCACACCTCTGAACCATCAAACTTGCAGATCCTTTAACCCTAAGTTCCCACAACTCTTAAAGTTTACAAGGTTTGCCCCTTGTGGCTTTTTGTGGCTTTTTTCCCCTTTCCAGGCAAACCAAAAGGGCAAAATTCCTCCTCAGGTCTGCCTGGGTGCCTTCCTGCTCCCTCCTTCCCCAGTCCTCTCCTGCTACCTCTCTGCCTTCACTCCCAACCTTGTTCCAACTAGCTGGGAGGGGCCAGTTGAACCCATGGGCTGTCCCTGCAGAGCATTTTCTGCTCCCTACCCAGTCTCTGCACGAACCCATTGATGGGATTTTATTGGGGTGGGAATGAAGAAACACACTGGACACATACTCAGCTTCCTAAATGCAACCCCTAACAAACATTCAATTGCCTCTGAATGTGGATTGCATAATAACCCAGGCATATAGATGTGGGGCACAGAAGTCTAACTTGCATCTCTTAGTAGAAAACCTGCACTTAATCTGCATTTAAAGTTTGCAATGGGAAAATCTTCGGGGACTGTGGAGGGAGGGAGTTAGGGAAATAGCAGGTGGGCCAAGTGGCACTAAGGAACAGTAGTGGTGGAGAAGGAAGTGTTTAAGGAGCCTAACTAAATATTAAAATCAAATGTGTGGCATGCAGTTTTGTCTGCATTTTTCCTTTAATACTGATCTAAGTCAGACTTCCCAAACTGCTGCTAGTCAAGCAGAGGGGTGTGTGTGAATATATGGGGGGGGGGAGTGGGTGGAATTTTGATTAAGAAAACAGCACAAAGGAAAGGGTTAAACACCCCCCCAGTCCTGATCAAATCCTTTGTTAGAACCACAAAGGATCACGAGGGATTATCATGGATGTACAGCTTGGTCCAAAGAAGCTAGGAAGTTTCTGACAAGAAAGCAGTGTGTGCCTGGCAGTGGTGAGATGCTCACTGTAGAAGGTAGACAGTTGCACAGGTGGTTTGCTGCTGAAATCATAGTGTTCATAGTCGGAATCAGAGTCTTCACTAAGGGGTGTAGGCAGCACTGCCGTTGCTGAAAGGGAGAAAGAAACATGAGTCCACTCGGGGAGAACCAGCTAGTGGAGCTATCAGGCAGGACTTCAGGGCACAAGTCCAGGATCAACTCAGAAATGCAGCAGGACTGACTTACCCTGGGCTACACCCAACCTTCTCTATCTGCTACTGCCAGGGCTCTTGTGCCAGGGGATAGGTGAGTTTTATTGTTGCACAACATAGGAACCCAACACAACAGTTGCACTAGTTGAAACTCAGATCACGGCAGATTGCATGATCCATCGTGCAACAAAGCTGTCAGCAACCTGCTTATGAATTCTCCAGCATAATAGCATTTCACTGGCACAAAATATTTCAACCATTTTATCAGATGCTTGAAATGCTATCTTTGCTTGGCAGAGTAGATAGATAGCTTGTAGATAGACACAAACACAGGGAGACATGAAGGAGAAATGTAACCAGTAAAATCAGAGGGAAACAAAATACAAAAAAATGACACTCTCAGACACTTACATTAAGTAACCATTCACAGAGCATTATTGATGATAAACACAAACGTCTTGGAATGGGTACTGGCATTTATACAATATTTAAAGTACCGTACGGTAGATTTTCTAGCTGTAGGCTTTTTTTGGAGTTATATTATCTATTTAAATGTTGTTGTTTTTTTAAAAAATAACTTTTTATGAAAATAAAATGGTTAAACTGAGAGGAATCCTGATAGGGACAATGTTATCAAAACAAACAGCATCACTGGTGGTGTGAGGCTGGTAATAACTGGGATTCAGTAGCAAATACCAGCTCTGAGGCAGGGACTTTCCTCAGGAAAACTGCCTGTTGTGATCCTGATAATTATAAAACACATCCAACCAGCAGCATTATTGGATAACTGCAGCAAAAAAGAGATTGGAATCGTTACTGTGTCTCAGTAGCCATTATGAGGTGGGAGACACATGAGACAAGGGATAATATAGTGCTACCATTTCGCTCCCAGCAGCCCATCAAGGACAGCCTTATGGGCTACTGTCTCGTAGATTCTGGCCCAAACCATCAAACATGGAAACTAGTAACTGCCAGGAAGACAGGAGAGGGTGGGGAGACAGGTGGTTGATGGAATAAGGGAGATACAAGTGATGCCAGCAAGCTACAACTTCCCATACCTTCTTCTTTGGGGAGGTTTGTGGGGACTTGCTGATAGTTGTTGCGTGTTCCAGTGGCTGAGACTTGCATGATGTGATTTAGAAGGATGGGAGCAGCAGTTGAGGCACAGGGATTGGCACTATCTGCAACTGAAAGCAGATATTTCATTCTGTAAGGCTTCCCTTCAAAGGGACTTTGCACGCAGATAGGAGTTTGACTCCTGCTCTGACAACAGTGGAACTAGTGAGCCTGTGGCTTTCCAGATGTTGTCAGACTACAACTCCCATCATCCATGACCACTGGCTGGGCTGGGCTGATGGGAGGAGTCCAGCAACATCTAGAGGGCCACAGGTCCCTCATTCTATACATGCTTCCCTTCCATTCCTCAGAGGGTGCTGAGGTGACATTCTCACAACCAACTTCCACATGGTAATCATATGAGTAACTATTGCGTTATCCGGGGCAGGGGGAAACCAACAACCATGCTGCCAACTGAGCAGTGGAAAAGTGAAATATTCCTCCAACAGATGTGCTCTGTAAGAAAAGAATAGCATCTGCACATATTTACTATGGAAAGAGATGATAGTTTGGAAAGGTCCAAAGGAAATATAGGTCGTCCATAGTAACTAAAGACAGGTCAGACATGACGTATGGCAACCCATATCGGATTTTGCCGAATTTCCTTGCTTGCTCAATAACTTTGGGCAAAACATTTCACCCTGCTCTTTCTAGGCACAGTGAATTTTTAAGAGTGGGGTTTCCCAGGAAAAGCTCTGAAGCAAAAAGAAAAAAGGGTGTGGGTGTGGGTGCTCAGACACTGAGCTTTAAATTGTGCGCTGTGCCTGGAAAAACCAGAGGAAAGTTAAGTGTTGATAAGCCCAAAGTTTCATGCCGGGTAACATCATTCATTCACGTAAAAAAAGTAAACATGAAAGCATTTTCTGGTCATCATACATAGCAAAATGACAATAAAATCCACCTGCAACCCCCCCCCCCCAAGAAATAGTGATTAGACACAATTTCCCAAAGCTTGGGAAAACAAAGAGGGTTTTGCCTGGCACTAAAAGGACAACAGAACAGGCACTTAGTGAGCTTCCTCAGAGACAGCACCCTAGAAGTGGGGCACCACAACCAAGCAGGCCCCTCTCCCCTGTCTCAACCTGCCTCACCTCTGATGACAGGGGCACCTAGACAGGGCTGGCTCAATACCTTTTGGCCCCTGAGACAGACCCCAAAATGGCACCCCCATCCCTGCCAAGGAAGAAGGAGTGAGGGAAGATTGGAAACAATTGGGGTGGGAGTGGGGAGACAGATCAACGTTGGGATCTGCTGCTCCTGTGGCTCCTGCCACCTGAGGTAGTTGCCTCACTTTACCTCATGGGCCAGACCTGCACTCAGAGGATGGTGTCTGAAGGACATTATAGGTATGCACCAGCACTCTGAACTCTGTCTGGAAACAGACCTGGCATCATTGTGGCTTTTTTAAGCAATGTGGAGATATGTTCTGTTCACCTGGTTAGCAGCTTTGCGATTGTGTGTAGCACATTATTATTATTATTATTATTGCATGTAAATGTTTCAAAAGGGAGCCAAGAAGTAGGGATATGCTACTAAACTATAGGGACAAACATCTGCCAAAATGACAACCTGCAGGCTGGCTGAATGTTGCATCTTTAAAGCAAACGAAATGAATTTCCGACATGCATCCATATAACTAAATGCCCATAATAGGGGAGAAAATGAACACCTGGAGCCCCGAGAGATAGTGGCTCAATTACACACTTTTCTCTGAGAGGCTTCTAAGTCTCATTTGCAATCAACCCTTATTCTTGAAATCTATCTGCACTCTCCTTCAGATTTCAGGAAGCATTATAGACTTGTTATAAAGGAGGCTTCTGGAAGTGGCAGGGATACACTGAGACTGAAAAACATTTGACAGCTCGTGACAGCTTCTTGGTGGCAATATGAATCCATGGCAGGGACACTTTGCAGCATTTCTGATTCCTGCCAGGAAGGGATCTGGCATCTGTTTCGAAGCCTTCCTATAGTAGCTGTCCAAAACATAGTATATTATATCCACTCCACCCAATTCCCCATAGCATTATTTAAATGTAGGTTTCCTCCCTCTGTAGTGCTGGTTATGCCCAGCATACCAATGGTACCGTTTTCCCTTCGCCTGTGTCGCAAAACGGTGATAATTAGAGTCAGAATGGCCAAAAAAAGGAGAAGACCCAGGACGATGCAGAGAATTTGCAGTATCTGGTATGACGGTCTAACATCTACCGGTAAGTTCTCAGGTGCAGTCCAACCTGCAAATGGAAACATTAGCAATTGTGGGTGGGTAGTAAAGATGGACAATTTTAGAAGAAGAAGAAGAAGAAGAAGAAGAAGAAGAAGAAGAAGAAGAAGAAGAAGAAGAAGAAGAAATCAATTTCAGTTTCTCTACATTTTCCCAGTTCAGTTCATCCCATGATGATTTTTCCCCCAAGTAGGCATTAATATATATATGCATTTTGTGCAAAAACATTCTCCTAATATAGCTGTTTTTTGCATAGTAGATTTACGTTGCATTTGTGATGTCCTATTATGTTATTGTTATTTATTGTTTGTAAGGTGCTTTGGGATTCATTTGAATGAAAAGTGGAATAGAAATACAACCAGTCAATCAGTTTCCCCCAACAGAATGCATTTTGCATGCTATTTTCAAGGAATAAGCACATTTTTGTATGCATTCTTTGGTTTGCAAACCGCATGGCAAAACTGAAAGTAGTGCAGATTTCAAAGGAGAGATGCATTCTGATTTGCTAATTGGTTCAGGAAGTGTGGATTTGGAAAATTTGCATTAAATGCAAAATAAACAAATCCTCAAGTGCCTCTAATGTGTGGAAGGAGGAAGGGCGAGGAAGAGGGAAACAGCCTTCCAAGCTTGTGTTTGATTTTATGCCATTTCTGTGTTTTCTTTGTTCTTATACCATAAATGTGTTGCTGCTATTGTTGTTGCTGGTGCTGTTGTTATGAGTTTGGGAAGGGGGGAGTAGGCTGTATGCCAAGACCCTTCTAATGTCTGGGGCCCCTTCTAATTCCTGGAATAGCCAGGCTTGCTTCCTGATGAGGTAATGGGCCACTAAGGAATCCAGAGGAGTGGATCTGGGTGCTCCCCCTCCCTCAACTCATAAGTAGTTAGAAAAACAAAGGCCAGAGTTGAGAGTGGAGTTCTGTGTGCTGGAAGCTGGAAACAAGGCAGCCGGCTGGGAAGGCAGAACATCAGAGCCATGCCTGATTTCTCCAGGAATCCAAGGCTGCAGCTATGAGAGAAGCAAGGCCTTATGGGGGTGTTAATGCTGTGAACCCCTCCATTGCAGGCTCTGGTTGTAAATATGTGCAAATAAACCATAAACCATATTAACTCTCCAGTCTCTGCTGCACCTCATTCCAAAGGAAACACAAATCCTGAGTAAGTGCCTGGAACCCCCGGAATCTTGCACCACTCAAGAGATTGGGGTGGCATGTAACATCATCACAATGATTATGATTATGACTATTAAATTTATTAACCCTAAGGTCCCAGGGCAGGTTGCAATGTTAAAGCACAACACAATATGAAAGCCAGTCTAAAACAACTTAGTAGCATGGCATAACTGTGGATGAAGACTAGTCTTACTATTTGTTTCAGTTACCCAGCTGTGCATACAGTCCCTATGTCACCTAGAGGACACAGACCAGGAACAAGGGCTATATAAAGATAACAGCAGGTGTGGTGTGGAAAGTTTAGAGGCTGGGTGTTTGTTCATATGGGTACTGATCACACAGGCAGACAATACCAAACAACCTGAGATCATGATTTTATGCTACCTCCTTCTGTAACGCCTGAGCACAAGACGGGAGATGCGATACTGTCTGCAGGAGAAAGTGCCTTGAGGCTTGAACTTACGTGGACTGGTCAGGTGGGAGACTGGAGTCACTGCTTCTGTCGCTTGTGTGTTTGCAGGATCCGCCAAACCCTGTGAGCCTGAAATCCAGAAAAGAGCACAGAAGAGTAAAGAACCAGCAACACCTAAGGACCGTATTAGTTTTGGGGTTAGAGAGCAGGAGACTGAGAAAGAGGGTCTAGACTGCATCTTCTCAGGATCCTGGGTGGGTGAGAAGGGCCCCCCCCCCCAGCTCCTGCTTTTTCCTCTTAGTTTTCCCCCCACATAGTTTTTACAATTCTGTTTTATTGTGATTTTAAGGAAATCAGCAGCAGCACAGGGAGAGCCAAAGACCCTCCCTCATTTGCAGATACCTTTGTATTGAGCTCAGGCAGACTAAGCAGCCTGTGCTGGTTTCATGTCAGCACCCGGCAGCCATGTAGATCAGCAGGAAACAATGTCGGGTAAAGCACATTGCAGGCTTGGGGTAAAACAGAGACAACTGGAAGCTCCTTTAGACTGTGATACATGTTGTGACAGCGATTTCTGCACCATCAAACCAGCTACCTAGCTACTCTGCAACGCAACCAGGGCATTTTCAGGTGGTGGGTGGGTCTGTTCCCAAGTGACATCTCAATCACCCCCTTCAGGATAGCCAAACAGCATCATGGCATGAAGTCCCTGCTGAAGCTTGGACCCTGTGGCTACTATCTGTATTGGGCTGGCATGGCATAGATTTCAACCACTCCTCTTTCCATGGAAATCACTGCAAATTGTGGTGAAATGAATTCAGTAATGGAAAAATGAGAAACCAAGAAAACTGAAATTGACATATCCTGCTACAGTGGAAGCTTGGTTGTCGAACGTAATCCAAAATGTTCAACAACCGAGGTGCAAAGGGCTTTTGGAAATTTCCACTGAGAAAATTGAAAAACATGCAGCGGAAGCCATTTGGCTTCTGAGACGCGTTAAAAAATGGAAGCATTTACTTCCGGGTTTTCAGCGTACAGGTTCTGAAGCATTCGGCTTCCAAGACACTCGAAAACTGAGGTTCCACTCTATTGCTATGTGTTGTTCACTCATGTCAGCAATTGACACCAGCCTGCTGCTGTAAAGGGTTTAATGGTGTGCCTCGTTAAGCTCTAATTATCACTCGGTGAGATTTCTGCACCTGATTGCTATTCAGCTCCCACCTTACCATTTTTCTTCTTTATATACCTACCAATTAAGAATTTATTTTATGCATCCAATGAAGAGGGCCGAATTTATGAAAGGTTATGCCATAATAAATTTGCTGGTCATTAAGGTGCCTCATGGAAGCACTTGGATCATTTTTTGGACTGGTAGCAAACAGGGAACAAATAGCCCAGTTCACCAACGTGATCAGCTATGCCTGTAGGGGGAAGAACCCCAGGCTCCAGGTGGGATTTCTGTCTCCATTTCAGCTAGTGATCTAAATTTGGCCTGTCTTTACTCTGGAATGCTTTTAGGCATGTGATCTATTCTTGGCTTCACCTTCTGCAGATAGTCCACAGGTGAGAATGTGTTAAATGGATATTGATGTCTGGCAAGGCAAAAATGCAGGGAAGTCCTTAATCTTGAAGGGAAGTGGTGGTGGTGGTGGTAGTAGTAGTAGTAGTAGTAGTAATAATAATAATAATAATAATTTATTATTTGTACCCCACCCATCTGGCTGGGTCTCCCCAGCCACTCTGGGCGGCTTCCAACAAAGATTAAAAATACAGTAAAATGTCACACATTAAAAACTTCCCTGAACAGGGCTGCCTTCAGATGTCTTCTAAATGTCAGGTAGTTGTTTATCTCTTTGACATCTGGTGGGAGGGCATTCCACAGGGTGGGCACCACTACCAAGAAGGCCCTCTGCCTGGTTCCCTGTAGCTTTGCTTCTCGCAGTGAGGGAACCGCCAGAAGGCCCTCGGCGCTGGACCTCAGCATCCGGGCAGAACGATGGGGGTGGAGATGCTCCAGGCAGATGGTGGTGAGGAATATTAATGGACAATCACTTGTCCCTGGGGATCTTGTAACACCAGAACAGGACATCCAGGGAAGCTGAATGTTGAAAGATTCAGGACAGACTGCACCCCCAAAGCAGTACTTCTTCATGCAGCACATAGTTAAAACTACGGAACTTGCTCCCGCAGGAGGCAGGGATGGCCACCAACTTGGACGCTTTGAAAGAGGATTAGACAAATTCACAGTTTATCAATGATGGCTACTAGCCATGATGGCTATGTTCTGCCTCCACAGTTGGAAGCAGCAATACTTTTGAATGCCAGTTGCTGGAAACCACAGGAAGGGAGGGTGCTCCTGTTCTGCTCCGTGGTTTCCTATGGGCATCTGGTTGGCCACTGTGAGAACAGGATGCTGCACTAGATGGGCCACTGGCCTGATCCAGCAGGATCTTCTGATATTCATATCTGCCTGTTTCAGTTGCTCTCGGTTTCTCTTTCCCCCAGACTTAAGTTGAGGACTTGATCGGAGAATGGCACTGCAAAATTGAATTCCCAAGGAGGGTGGCATTTTGGTTCACACAGCACTTTGGAAAGTTCAGATGACGGAATTTAAGATAGAAAAAGGGACACGACAAGGTTGCCCAATCTCCCCATTGCTTTTTATATCGGTCCTGGAGGTCCTGCTGAACATGATTAGAAGGGACCAATTGGTTAAAGGTATACAAGTCGGAGCTAAACAGTACAAATTGAGAGCATTTGCAGATGATTTAGTATTGACATTACAGGAGCCAGAATCTAGTACTAAAAGGGTTTTGGAACTGATTCAAGAATTTGGTCAGGTTGCAGGATTTAAACTGAATAAGTTAAAAACAAAGGTCTTAGAGAAAAACTTAACAGTGACTGAGAGAGAGAGGTTTCAGAATGAGACAGGTTTAACAGTGGTTAAGAAAGTGAAATACCTGGGGATTAACATGACAGCTAAAAATGGGAATCTATTTAAAGACAATTATGAAAAATGCTGGGCTGAAGTGAAAAAAGATTTAGAAATTTGGTCAAATTTGAAGCTTTCGCTGCTAGGCCGTATTGCTGCGATAAAAATGAATGTATTGCCTAGAATGTTGTTTCTGTTTCAAACATTGCAAATTTTGGACAAAATGGATTGCTTCAAGAAGTGGCAGAAAGATATCTCTAGATTTGTCTGGCAGGGCAAGAAGCCTAGAATAAAATTTAAAATACTAACGGATGTAAAGGAAAGAGGTGGATTTGCCCTGCCAGACCTTAAACTTTATTACGAATCAGCAGCTTTTTGCTGGCTGAAAGAATGGCTGCTTCTTGAAAACACAGACATTTTGGATTTAGAAGGTTTTAATAATGTATTTGGATGGCATGCATATTTGTGGTATGATAAGGTCAAAGCACATAAAGCATTTAAAAATCATATTGTCAGGAAAGCATTGTTTAATGTCTGGATAAGATATAAGGACCTATTGGAAAACAAAACCCCAAGGTGGCTGTCACCGATGGAAGCGAAAGCTCAGAAAAAGCTCAATATGGAGGCCAAATGGCCGAAATATTGGGAAATTCTGGAACAAGAGGGAGATAGATTGAAACTGCAGAGCTTTGAGAAACTAAAAAACAAAGTGCGAGATTGGCTTCATTATTATCAGATAATGGAGGCATACAATTTGGACAAGAAAATTGGCTTCCAGGTGGAAAAATCAAAATTAGAAACAGAACTGTTAGAACCCAAAACTAAGATTTTGTCAAAGATGTATAACTTGCTGTTGAAATGGAATACTCAGGATGAAACGGTGAAATCTGCTATGATTAAATGGGCACAAGATGTTGGACATAACATAATGATGGCTGACTGGGAACAGTTATGGACCATAGGTATGAAGTTTACGGCATGTAATGCCTTAAGAGAGAATATTATGAAAATGATATACAGGTGGTACATGACACCAGTCAAGCTTGCAAAAATCTATCATTTGCCCGATAATAAATGTTGGAAATGTAAAGAAACTGAAGGTACATTCTTTCACCTTTGGTGGACATGCCCAAGGATTAAGGCTTTCTGGAAGATGATCTATAATGAAATGAAAAGGTATATAAATATACCTTCCTGAAGAAACCAGAGGCCTTTCTCCTGGGCATGGTCGGCCAATTGGTGCCAAAGAAGGACAGAACTTTCTTTATGTATGCCACAACAGCAGCAAGAATACTTATTGCAAAGTATTGGAAGACACAAGATTTACCCACTCTGGAAGAATGGCAGATGAAGGTGATGGACTATATGGAACTGGCGGAAATGACTGGCAGAATCCGAGACCAGGGAGAAGAGTCGGTGGAAGAAGATTGGAAGAAATTTAAAGACTATTTACAGAAATACTGCAAAATTAATGAATGTTAGAATGATGTCAGAATGAAGTTAAGTGGTTTTAGCAGTCATGTTATAAAGGTGTATGTAAAAATGGATTGTTAACAGGTGAAAATTCAAAGTTATAATATATTAAGTTAAAGGATTAAGACAAAAACAAAGAGGGAAAGGAATTGCTGAATTAACTAACAGAACTGGAATACAAAAAAGGGAGGTGTGAGGAGGTCAGGGAAGTAAGGAAATGAAATGAAAGGCATGGAAAGACTGATGTGTTTTTTAAGTGTTTGTTATCTTTTTTTGTATTTTGTATTTTTTTCCTTTTTGTTTCTTTTTCTTTTTTTCCTCTTTTTATTTATGTAATCCTTTCTTTGAAACTTTAATAAATATCATTTTTTTAAAAAAAAGGAAAGTTCAGATGACATAGCTTTGCCTTTAAACGCCAACTGAATCAGAGTTCTCCCCTGTCCTTACCTGTTCCTACCATTATACCCCTTTGGTTGAAATCTGCACCAGAGAGAGGGAGAGAAAAAGAGAAGGCATACTGGAGACACCAGTTAGGGTAATTACCTTTGCAGATCACACCAGCAGCTCCAAACTGGGCAGCACACACATTGCTATTGTTGTAGAGCCAGCTGCAGCTGGCGAGCGAGTTTTCTGTTCCAGAGCAGTCATAGTACATCTTGCCCATCAGCGTGTGGTTGAAAGGCACTCTCGGGACTGAGGCCTTCTCACTGCAGTTCAATGAGTGACAGAGCACATCAGCCTCATCCTGGTACCAGTTACCATCACACACAGTGTTCCAGGTGCCCCGGTAATAAACCTCCACTCGGCCGGCACAAGCATCTAGTCCTTCTGACAGCCGCCACTCCTGGTGCTCTGCGGAGGTGATGGGAGTGAGGGAGAGAAATAGAATCAGCAAAGATAAAACAGCTGGGGAAATGCCACTCTTATGCTGTAATACACTGCTACATTATCAGCACCAGTGATTTCCTTTTCTTGTAGGCCAGAGCTATATCTGTTACATGGAAGGCATTTTCATGTGTGATGCTAAGAACTATAGTAGAGCCGTTTCCTGTATTTGAGGATTGAGATTGCCACGCTGATCAGAACATGTCTTCAAGTTTAAAATGTCTCTCTTCTGTTTGCCAAATCATAACATTCAGAAACAATGGACCAGACGGAGGCTAAGGACATGGTAGGATGCCCATTTGGTTTCAAGGCTGTCATCTTCCATTTTCTGTCCCACAGTAATAAATGACGTTTTCCCTCCTTCGTCTTCCTATGATATTTTTAAAAATGAGCTCCCATCCAAAGGGGGTGTGGGTGGGTAGCTTTTTGATGTTTCAGTTCAGCAATGAAGACATCAAATGCTACCATGTGTCTCAAAGTCACTTTAGGTACCATGTGCGAAAACAGCAGGGATGTGCTTAGCATAACTTATGCTAATGTGCTTTCTGGGAAACATTCCGAGAGAAGATTCCATGGGAGGTGTGGAGGTCAGCGCAGGAGATCTCCCCAATCTTGCTAAGTGCTGACACCCTGGTTTGGAGGCCAGGCATTAGGAGGAACAGGGCTACATGTTTTTCAAGGGAGCTACATTCAGTACACATAGTTCTCAAAACACTTGCACTACTTGCTTGGGCCTGGGACTTCTTCAGAGACATAAAGTTATTTCATGGTTTATTATTGAAAAAGATAAAGACGGTCCTCCTGATGTCTCCAGCTGCCCCAGAGAAAAATGCAGGACTGGAGGGAGCTTGGCCTGATCCAGCAGGGCTCTGATTCATATATTTCTACTGATCTCTATTAAAAACAAAAAACAACACAACCTGTGGGGAGCAGCCATTTCTCTTGAGATGGTACTGAGCTACAACTGACAAATATCTGTCTATCTTTGAGGAATAGATTTCTGCTTGATCTTTCCTATAGCTCTGCACAAGAGATGCACTTCTGTCATGCGGCTGTCGTAAAATATATGCACGGGACACGAAATTTAAAGCAGGGATGGCCCAGTGTCCACATGCAGTTAACATTAGGCCAGCAACATCACTTTATCTGGTACTATACTGGGAATTCCTTTCTGTACTAGTTCTTGGCTGCTCCACCAGGCTCAGAATACAGACAAAAAGGAAAAGGGATTGAAAATGCCCTGGCTGCTTCTTCTGACATGTTTTAATGAGGTCAGTGGAAAGACTTCTGTTTCCCCTTGCCCTCCGTTACCAGTCTTGGAATAGAGGGAAGGAAAGCAAGGATGTCAAGCAACTTCTACCCTGTCTCCTCCTCCACCAATACTTCCACATTTGGTGGAGTCTCCAAGTATTAGCATGGCAATGTGAGTCTGGTCATTAAGGCCTGATCATGGGATAATGAGAGTTTGTCTCCTCCAGGATCAGGAAATGGACAGTTCTTTGGGTCATCTGTATGAGTAGACACTTGTATGCATGCACATGTGCACACACAGAGAGAGGAAAATATCTGTGCTGACCTGAACATATAACACCGGCATCTTCCTTGTGTCCACAGTCATGGTTCCTCTCAAATGGACAGTCCCACAGAAAAGACTCATTCCCCAAGCACTTCACTTCATCCAAATAGATGGGGCCTGTCCCCTTCTGGAAATGAGAGGCAATAGGAGCCTGAAGAGCCCAGCCGCAATGCAGTTGCCGGCACACAACTCCAGCATCAGCCAGGTCCCAGTTGTCATCACATATGGTGCCCCAGGTACCGTTGTATTCAACCTCCACCCTGCCAGAACAGTTGCTTCTTCCATCCACCAAACGTAGCTTGCGTGTTTCTGCAGGAAAGATGCAGAGAAGAGTTGGATCAGAAGTCACACAGTGGGAGAACAAAGAAATAGAAGGATGGATGGTTGGATGGATAGATAGATATCTAAATTTACAGATCTAAATTTAATATAGTACAACTTGCTAAAACAGCAAGGCAAAGAAAGCCCATACATTCCAAAGCTCCAAACATCCTTATGCTACTTGGGAAATTCAGATCTGGCGTGGATAAACACATGCATGAAGCTGATGTGTTGAGTTGGTTCATGCATGCCTGTCCATCACTTGATGACTCACATGTAGGAATGGTCCTCACAGATATATCCATGGTTTTATCTTACTAAACATTTACACGAGTGCAACAAATTTTGGCTGCAGAATGTAAGTCCCCCACCCTCTCCTCTCCCCATGCAGCCCCACTCAAATCTGCTTGGGTTTTTCCCCCAACTCAGGTGTGCATGGGGAAAGGAGAGGGTGGGGAACTTACATTGTGCAGCTAAAAGATGTTGCACTAGTGTTACTGTTTAGTTGGAGACCTCCCACAGATAGAACTTTCATATCCCCTCATTTCCCCTCACTTTGCAATGAGGCCTTCCTTCCCCGCAAATGAATCAGTTTGTCATATTCAGCTGCCAATTATTCAGGCCCAGTTCACACACACAGCAGAATGAGATGGGGGAGTCAGGTGGTTGCATGGACTGTAGCTCAGTCTGCATGTATTAAAAAGAAAAACAAGAAAAACCAACAACACCAAGACAAATGCTTACTGACAGAAAACTAGTGCAAAGTTCTTGACTTAGAACCATTCTCCTCAGTTTGCTACGTGCAGGAAGTTAAAAGCAAAAGTGTGGAAAAGCCATCGAAAGTGGTATCCCCACCTGCAATTTGAGGATTCTACCAACTTGTTCTGTTGCATAGGTGGCCACATTGCTAAGTAATCAAGGTCTGGTGTGCACATGCAGCAGAATAAGGTAGCAGAATTCTGGAGGGGCAAGGGGGATTGTACCACCTCAGACAGTAGGTAGAAGGATAGCATTTTTGTTTGCTTTTCCATGTATCAAATTTCCTGCAAGTAAAACAACAACAACTAGCTCATCACGGAGAAAGGTCTCAGCCCTACCCTCTGCTGTGCCACTTTCCTGACTGCAGAGTGTTCAGGTTTGGGATTTTTTTTTATATACATATTGAAAAATATGGTTCTCCCACCTGCGGTATAAAATGATACAGCTCACTCTACCACCTCAGGACGCTTCCAGCTCATTGCCACATCATTCTGCTCTACATGTACAGCAGGTCCAAGTTATGAGAAATCAAGTGATAGAAATGCATGTGGGAATGTTACCGACCCTGTGATGTTTCCGATTCTGTAGCTAATGAGATAACCGGAACCCAAGAGTTGGGGAAATACAGACTGGTCCACCCACTTTTTTTTCTATCTGAGAGGCATTCTCAGTATAGCATGGCGAAAAAGAACTCCGTAGCTCAGAGGAAAAGCATCTGCTTTGCACTCAGAACTTCCCTAGGTTCAATCTCTTGCATCTCCGGGTAGGACTGGGAATTATCCCCCTGCCTGAAACTCTGGAGAGCTGCTGCCGGTCAGTGTAGACAGCACTGAACTAGATGGACCAGTGGCCTTACTGTGTATAAGACTGCCTGCTCTGCTCCTATGTTCCTAAGGCATCTCGGCCTGAGGCTGTCCAGAGGGGAGGCCATTTGTTTCCTTCAGAGCTCTTCACACAGATACATCTTTCCTCCCTCAGTCATGATTCATGAAACCAGCATGGGAGAAAAGTATGTGTGGGTTGAACACTCATAAAAAATACTATTGGCCTGGACTCTGTACTGTATTCAGAGATTTGCAGTATTTCCAGGATTAAAACACACACACACACACACACACACACACACACACAACCCCAAAGCTCACAACTGTCAGTGGAGCCTCAGTATGGTACAGGCTCATAGAAGACAGTGACAATATTGATCCTGCCAAAAGAGCCAATCCTGGCTTATGTTGCTACAGAAATTGCCTGAGATTCAGCCAATCAGTTCAGGATAGGGGGTCCATATGCCTTTTTTTACAGTCCTCCATTTGAAGGCCTGTCAGAAGAGAGTCCCCAACTTGGTGGCCTTCAGATATTTAGGACTACAGGGATGGTCCATGGTCAAGGGTGGAGGGAGTTGCAGTCATACAACATCTGAAGGGTACCAGGTAGGAGAAAGACAGTCCTCTGTTTGGCTGAGTCCTCTACATGAAGTGCTGTCTGATTTAAAAGAACCATAAGAAGGGAAAGTGGGGGGTGCGGGAGGCTTGAGGTGGCCCCTCGGCAGTTAAAGCCCCTGGACACCAGAAACGCATCTCACCTGGTCACAATCTTCCCCACAATGGTGAGATGTACTTTATTTTCTTTAGATTATACCAGTTGCGTCTAAATTGGCACCCCTACAGATGAATTAACATATGCAAATATTAGGCAGATTTGCATCCTCTTTTTTTTAGTGATGAATAAGTGACTCCCCTAGTCCAGGAAGTGGGTGCTAAAGAAAAAAAAAGCACATCAACCTCAACTCCGCTCTATCCGTGGGATGGGTGCAACACAATTTGCCACCCACACAACTTCCTGCCCCTTTGATGAAAATGTCACTGAGGTGAGTGCACACGGAGCTCAGGTAACCTCAAAAACCAGTGATGAGGTAAGCTCTGCTCCCTGGGAGGAATCCCAGCAGGTGGGGGCTGGCCTGGGCCATTTTTGCACAGCTTGGAGACTATTGTAAGTTGACCGCCCCACCCTGTCTCTGCCCTATATGCAAGCAGCTAATGGGAACTGAATACAAGACCATCCAGACTCCAAGACAAAAGATGCAGCATTATGTCTTAGGGTGGTGTCTACTCTGAACCGTATGTGTTCCATCATCTGCCAGATCCAAGAAGTGGGGTGAAAGATGTGCTGATCAGACACACTGGGCAATAGATGACACACTGGGCAATAGATATAGGACACAATATAGACCTAAACCTCTGGGAGAAACTTTGGAAAAGTGATCTGAAAATTTACTGCGCGTTATTTGCTGAAAGAGAATTATTTGAAAATGATTCATAAATGGTATTTAAAACCAAGTAGGTTGGCAAAGGTGTATAAAGCAGAATTAGAAACATACTGGAAATGTAAAGAAATGGGAGGAACATTTTTTCTTTAGGGGTGGACATGCAGATAGGTGAAAGAATATTGGGAAATGATATATAATGAGCTGGAAAAAAATGTTTAAATTTACCTTTCCCAAAAAAGCCAGAGTCCTTTTGTTAGGAATAACCCATACAGAAATTCCCAAGTACCAGAAAAGTTTGTTTATGTATGCAACAACAGTGGCCTGTGTTTTGTTGGCCCAAAAATGGAAAGTGGGTGAGGTGCCTTTTACAGAGGATTGGCAACTTAAGATGGTAGAATATGCAAAACTTGCAGGTTTAACCCACAAAATAAGAGAGCAAGAACAACGTATATGTAAAGAAGAGTGGAAAATATTTATTGAATATATGGAAAATGATTGTATACAGCTGAAAACACTGGCAGCATTAAAATAATTTCAACAGAGTAAATAATATTTGATTGATGCAAAAGTGGAAAATTGACTTGAATGGTTACAGTAAAATATGCGGGAAACTATGATATGTAATATGAACCATGGAAGGAGAAGAAAGGAAGTTATTGGATATTTCAAAGTTTGTAAAATGTTTAATTTGTTATGTAGAAAAATGAAAATTCAATAAAAAAATTATCTTAAAAAAAACACTGTCAAAAGGTGAGTTGAAGGAGGAGGTGATTGACAGTTGATCCTGATGTGTTCACCATGTCATCACCCACACCAAATTGGATCTGCCCAGCACCTGACACTCAGCTGGTACTGAATAAATATACAGTATTAGTAGTAAAAATGGCCTTACGAACCAGCCACGCGGAAACACAGCACAGATAGAAAAGGGCTTAGCCTACCCTTTCGTATTCTTACCTGGCTCTGCAGTTGGGCTGCCTTCAGTGCTGTTTCCAATGGCAGGAGACCTGGTTGGCTTTGCCTGGACTGAAACAAAAACAGACAAGATTTGGAAGTGAATAATCACAGGTGTCTGATTCCAAGACTCCAGCACAAAAAGTGCACATCATCAGGGTGGGGTGGAGGGAAGAACCAGGGAGCAACTCCCTAGGTGATATGAAGTGTCTCTGCTGAATATAATTAAGTGCTAGTTAGAATTCGTATGATTGGTAAATACTTCTTGAGAGATCAAACTGTGCAGCTGGAATATTTTTGGAGGCTCTTTTCTAGCTGGAGAGCTAGTTTTAGGGCAAGCTATCCATTTCAATGTCACTCAGTTCCTCAATTTTCAATTCTTAAGTTCAGTTCATCCACATCAGTATGTGAATTATCCCCACCCCTCTCCAGGCCTCATGAAAATTTGTCAGCACTTTTGTGTTCATTTCTGCTAACACAGACACTTCTGTGTGTAATTTTGCCTAATATACATGTTGTTGCAAGCACTTACCCCCTAACATAATGCATTTTTGTATATTATTTACACTGATATAAGCATTTCGCCTTATATAGGCATTTTCGTACACCTTTTTCAGTTGAAGAACTGCATCGCAAATTTTTCAGAAGTGTGAATTTCAAAGGATGGCTGCGTTTCAGTTTGAACCAACTTTCTGCCCCATTTCTATTCCCTCAGCTGATACTGATTAAATGTACAGTAGTTGTAAAAATGGCCTTATGAAACAGCCCTGGAAAAACTACCAAAGATATAAAAGGGTTTAGCTGTTCAGTACGTAATACAGTGGTACCTCGGTTTACAAACTTAATCCGTTCTGGAAGTCCGTTCTTAAACCGAAACCGTTCTTAAACTGAGGTGCGCTTTCCCTAATGAGTCCTCCTTTCCACCGTTCGGCTTCCGTTCTTAGACCGAGGTAAAGTTCGCAAACCGGGACACTACTTCTGGTTTTGTGGAGTTCGTAAACCGAATAGTTCGTAAACAGGACTGTTCTTAAACCAAGGTACCACTGTATCTCTTTTCATAAATATCAAAAGTTCAGTATCTTCTTGCATTCAACAAGCATATAAAACCCATAGGGATAAAATACAATGCTACCAAAATGCAGTTCCTTGTGGAAACTGCACATAAACTGTTGGTTCCAAAAATCAATCTTAAAAGTAGAGATTGCAGCAGGAGGGATGACTCTTAGATACGTATATTATTAACACAGAGTTAAAATACAGTCTCAGTGGAATCTGATTTTTGATACATTTTTCTTTTCATTTTTTTCTGGAAATTTATTTTTTAAAGTTTGTTAAGTGATCATATTTGCATTAATAAATGAAGTTTTCAATTTAAATGAAACTGCCTTATAAATACAAACTTATTCTTCACTATTCAAATCCTTGATATTTATTCCAGCGGATTTGAAGCCAGCATACTGTTCTTTTATTTTGTCTGTTGCTGAAAATCAGAAAATATTTTGTAAAACAATATTTACAGTTTACACCAGCCCTGAATTACATGAAACGTGAAATAACAACATTAAGCAAATCGGCATTGCGAAACTCAAGTGCAAACAGCATATCAAGACCATCGGTGAAATTATCATATCTGTATCAAATGCAGCTTTTAGAGACAGTCTTCAATTTCATGCACTACCACCACAAAATTGAGTTTCACAATTTGGGGAATATTTAAAATGTTATAGAACATCTATTAATATTTACAACTCAGTTACCCAAGATGCCTTTTCCTTTTGTGACATTTCGGCCATTGTCAACGAGAATGCCACAAAAATGGCACCACATCTGTTTAAACCTCTGATTTGATGAATGATTTCTATATTCTTCATGAAATGTAGATGGATGGTATCATAGGCTGCTTCTCGACAGGCAGTTCTCAACACTATGTGTTCATTGCTCTTTGTCTACATGCAGAATTGCAGCAGTGTTTCTACACTTGCAAAGTTTTGTGTTTTGTGCGTGTTGAACTTCATGCGATGTCCTTCCACGTGTTCGCAAGCTTCCTTCCCACAATTGCTGAGGAAACAAGGACTGATCATAAAAAGATTACTATGTTGTCTGGACACCCTGAAAAAACTGTGAATTAATGACGCATGACAATTCCAAAACAAATACCTTGTCTCGGAGCAACTATAGTCAGCTTTCTGTTGTCCAAACAGATGCCCTTGGAATGCAGGGTGAGATTTATTGGCTGGCTGTGTGTGTGTGTGTGTGTGTGTGTGTGTGTGTGTGCGCGCGTACGCACACATATGTGCACAGAGAGGGGCCTGGATGTAAGATTTATCCTTTTATTTAAAAATTAAATGTGTGTGTGTACACACACACACACACACACACACACACGTATGCTCAGCTGAATTGTACCCTTTTCTTCCCCAGCCACAGGACTATGTCACATCCACTAATGTGGATGGAACATTAGATGATGTTCACATGCAAAACTGTGACACTCCTAGCAGATAGGGAAGTCTGTTGCAATTCTGCACAGAGCTTACAATGGAAGAGTAATGAATGGATAGTGTTAGGAACTACCCACCTGGAAGGAACCTACATCATGTGGAGCACCCCACCACTGCTGTAAAATATGAGTGAACAAAGTACAGTGGTACCTCTGGTTAAGAACTTAATTTGTTCTGGAGGTCCGTTCTTAACCTGAAACTGTTCTTAACCTGAGGAACCACTTTAGCTAATGGGGCCTCCTCCCGTTGCCGCCGCGCCGCCGCCACACAATTTCTGTTCTCATCCTGAAGCAAAGTTCTTAACCCGAGGTACTATTTCTGGGTTAGCGGAGTCTGTAACCTGAAGTGTCTGTAACCCGAGGTACCACTGTATAGCAAATCCACAATGAACACCTCATCTGAAAGCAGTAATAGACAGCATCGCTTTTCTGTATAAACCAGCGACAAGAGTGATTTGTGGTTGGGTTATGTATTAAGTTAAGCTAAGTCAGGAGTTTAACACTCCTGTTTTCAAGATGTTCTGGGGCAAATGCCCTTCTCTTCCCAGTCAAAGTGCAGAGAACCCAAAAGGTGCAGCAGATCAATGAGAATTGACTTATTTTCTTTGGCGTTTGGGTCCACCAGAATTAGAATGGCTAGGTTGTGCTCAAGGGAGAAGCAAACAGAAGTTGGTGTGTGACAGTATAGGCTACCCACACAAACGGCATCATATACTTGGCAAACCCACTCCCAAAATGTACAAATCAGCTCTAATACACAAGCAGTACCTGCAGATATATAACAGGTAATGTTTTATTTATCAGATTTTCTGCAGGGAGGCGAAATCCAGATCATTTTTTTAAATAAAAAGAAGTTTGGTTAGCACTTTGATAATGACATTGTATGGATGCTGAAAAAACTTGTGGGCGTGAGTACTACCAATTTCGCAACCGACTCCCATCTGAAAACATCCCAATTTTCAAATACAAACTCACAGATGAAACTGCAAGGAGAAATGCAGGCTAAACAGCAAGATTCTCCTTGTGTCAGTGTCTTTTACTTTAAACTTATACTAATGAAGCATGCTAGGAGCCAGCCGTAGACCAAATTTCACAAGAACAGGTCATTTGATTCTAAGCTTATAGCAAGTTTTACCCCCTATTTGTGTGAATAACAAATCCAACTATTCAGGTTCCACCACTCTTGCATAGTAATCAAACCACTCTCGGTCGCAATGGGAATTACCGTATTTTTTGCACCATAACACTCACTTTTTTCCTCCTAGAAAGTAAGGGGAAATGTCTGTGCGTGTTATGGAGGAAATGCCTACAGGTGGCATACCTACGGATTTTCCTCCTCTAAAAACTACGTGTGTGTTATGGTCGGGTGCATGTTATAGAGCGAAAAATACAGTAATTTTCTATGTGGTTAACTGTTGAACTCATAGCCCCCCCACCCCATGACCTGAAGAGTGTTTAAAATGACTGACATGAACTGAGTGACATTCTTATAGAATATTAATATATGTATGGATCGGCTGATGGTGGATTTGGCTTCACTGCTGCATAGACAGAATAAGAAATAAGAACAATACTTTTTCAGAACACAGGTCAGTTTTATGAATTTATAATGTACCATAACCTGTTTGAATCAGTAGCTCCTGTTGCAAACAAGGAGCTCAATCCACCAACCACTGCTGATTACACAGATCTTTGTGTGAATCATCCCACACGTCTTTCTGTCCATGCAAACGCCACTAAAATAATAATAATAATAATAATAATAATTTTTATTTATATCCCGCCCTCCCTAGCCGAAGCCAGGCTCAGAGCGGCTAACAACAATAAAAGTGACAGTTTACATAAAATCACAATCAATTAATTGAAATGCATTCTAAAATCAATTCATTCTAAAATCAATTCAAAATCAAATTAATGACAACCATTGGGCTAGAGTTCTGTGAGGATTACCGAAGGAGGGGGTCAGACTGTGCCTTGGCCAAAGGCCTGGTGGAACAGCTCTGTTTTGCAGGCCCTGCGGAAAGATGTCAAGTCCTGCAGGGCCCTAGTCTCTTGTGACAGAGCGTTCCACCAGATCGGGGCCACAGCCGAAAAAGCCCTGGCTCTGGTTGAGGCCAGCCTAACCTCCCTGTGGCCTGGATCTCCAAGATGTTTTTATTTGAAGACCGTAGGGTCCTCCGTGGGACATACCAGGAGAGGCGGTCCAGTAGGTACGAGGGTCCTAGGCTAAACTCAAACTGTACAGCATCAATGCCAATCACCTAGATTCAAGGAGGCCAATCTACATAATGGATGCTTCTACACACAAGTATCAGCTCCATCCTGGTGGTCCAAAATACCACTGTAGGAAGGACCTGCATCCTGCATCCCGTATCCCAGATTGCAGGACAAGTGCTTCTGCTCCATATGCATCCTAAGCACTTTCAGCTCAAATGTCTCTGATCACATAAGGACCACTGATATGACTGACATGGTCGCTCCTCTAGTAGAGTCTGGGCAGTTCATCACTGACGCCATGCTATGCCCAACAAGAAGCAATCAGAGGCACAAGTTGCAAGGAGGCAATGTCTATTTAAAATTGCAGGGGGCTTTGATGACCAAGACTTGCATCTGAGGAGGGAAATGGGCAATATGTCAATTTCAGTTTCTCATTTTTCTAATCTAAGGCTCGCTTCTCCACATTTCTACAGGAGTTTGTGATTTTTTTTATTAAAAAGTCTTTATGAAAATTCATCAGCATTTGAGTATAGTTTATTGTGAAATGCAACCTCGACGGTCTTTTCTGATATGCTGCTATTATTAGTCCATGAAATCTGGGATACAGCTCATAGAATTGTAGCCTTGGAATGCATCCCAAAGATCATGTGGTCCAACCCCCTACAATGTAGAAATATGCAGCTGCCCCATACAGGGATTGAACTTGCAACCTTGGCATTATCAGCACCATGCCCTAACCGATGGATATTTTTATACAGTGGTACCTCGGGTTAAGTACTTAATTTGTTCCGGAGGTCTGTTCTTAACCTGAAACTGTTCTTAACCTGAAGCACCACTTTAGCTAATGGGGCCTCCTGCTGCCGCTGCGCCACCGGAGCGCGATTTCTGTTCTCATCCTGAAGTAAAGTGCTTAACCTGAGGTACTATTTCTGGGTTAGCAGAGTCTGTAACCTGAAGCGTATGTAACCAAAGGTACCACTGTATAATGCTTTCTGGGGTAGAAAATGAGGTGCCGATACCCAAATATTCAGGAAAGCGCCATGGACGCCAGAACAAAATAGCTGTCATGGTCAGCAAAAATCCCCGTTTTTAAATATATCTGCTGTAAGAAGCAGTGAATTGGACTTGTTTTTCTCGTGATATTGATTTTTTAAATTGTTTCTTTATTATTTTTTCAGTGCTGTTTTTCTAGAGAACGAGGTGCCAGAACTCACCATGAACACCTCCCCCGTTCTCTTAGAATGGCAATGTCACCCACCTAAGATGTGCCATGACTGAGTTCCGGCAAGTTCTGGCTGAGAAAAAGCCCTGCTTTTTTCCACTGCAAAATAAAATCCAATAATATTTTTTTTTAAATGGTAGAAAGTCAGATACAAAGTCAATGGAGAAATAAAGCCCACCCTACTGTTTGTTCTGGCTCTCTGCTCAGCAGGTGCTCAGCAGGTGTATTAGCTGAGGATGTTGGTTTCCTGGGAGATCACTTAATTGGGCATGTTCAGTATCAAGAATGTTTTTCAAAATCATCATTAAAAATGAGTCGGAAATGCACAAATGGTGAAAAAATCAGCGGGACTGATCGGCTGCAGACATATACCACTGAAGAGATGCTGTACCCCTTTTGTCACATCACCAACTATCGCTATTCCCCTGTCAATTGATTCAAAGCAAGTAGATTGGATAATTGAGCTTCAGATAATGAGAGATGTGCTATACATGCACCTTTGCTAGATATGTGCTGTCAAACACTGAAGGAAACAACAGGATAGGAAGGAAGGAAGGAAACCTTTTATTATTCTCTCCTTATTTTACTTCTTCTTTTAAAAATAATACTAATCCCGCTCTTCTAAAATGATTCATAGCTGCTTGCAACTAACTCACTACAAACAAGGAAACAATCAAAATCACACAACAAAACCAAAACTGCACATCTGCAGAAACAGAAAGATGCAAATCAGTACACTGTAATCAAAGCAGCAAAAAACACACAAGAAAGCAGGAACAAATCGGTAAGTGTACACACCATACAGCTAAAGCACATTGCTACATTGTACCACTCACATTGCTACAATTCCCAGCACTCTTATCAAATTATAGTTCCCAGGACTCTTCGGAGGAAGCTACGTGCTTTAAATGTTTGGTGTGTACGGAGGCAAAGGCAGGATTCACTGACCACAAAGCCTCCTTCAAGCACCAAGTTTTAACCTGGAGTCTGAAGACTTTCTTGCCTGGGCCAGGTAGTGTCATGGGGAGGGAGTGTCAGAAGGCTGGCACCACTACTCAAAAGTCCCTGCTCCTAGTGGAGAGCCACTGAACTTGATGGGAGCACATGGTGCGGCACCTCAGACATTGAACCAATTGCACAAACGTGTTACTCTCTAATTTATGTAATAAGGAAACATTAATGAAATGTAGCACGCACACAAAATGCAATCCGTGGAATTAATGAAAAATTGTCAGCTTTGTACAAATGTTGTATGATCGTTATATTAAAGATCAGCTCCCAGTTGAATTAACGTACTGTTTGTATGCTTTCCAGAGGCATTTGGATAGCCTTATTGAAAACAGGTGAAATTTGCTAATCCAACAAGTCTCTTATGCAGCTTTGGTCCCAGATTATTATAGACCAAGCTCTCAGTGAAATAGTGACTCAAAAATACTTTCAGAATTAACTTGGTATCTCTTGGCTGATCACTTCCTTGCACCACTGTGGGGTAATGGTTTGAATGTCTGCCTAGGAGACTGGGGCTCAAATTCCCATTCAGCCGTGGAGTTCGCTGGGTGGCTTTGAGCCTGTCACTGTCTTTCAGCCTTCCCACCACAGCGCTGTTGTGAGGACAAAATGAGGAGAGGGAGAGGCCATGTATGCCCCCTTGAGCTCCTTGCAGCAAATGTGCAATGGAAGCGCAACAAATAAATAATAAATCATATCAATGTGGACCAAAATAGTTTTCTGAGGGAGGAATTTCCTTCTGACAATCAATTTTGGGAGGGGGCAACCTGCGACCTTCAGGATTTTCCCACTTCCATTTCTTATGTTAGAATCGTAGAGTTGGAAGGGACCATGAGGGTCATCTAGCCCAATCCCCTGTAATGCAGAAATCTTTTGCCCAACATGGGGCTCAAACTCATGACCTTGAGCTTAAGAGTCTCTTGCTCTACCGACTGAGCTATCTCAGGTTATTGCTGGGCACCTATTCCCATTTACCAATAACTTCTGGAGAGCACCACACTGATGGCCTGGACAGCAGCAGAAGAATTAAATACTGGAGTAAAATCAAGAATAGCTAAAAAGATCAACATCTATTTTATTTGAGATGCATATAAAGCATTTGAATAGATTATAAAACGGTAATTCTGTCCGTATTTATTTGGATATTGAGTCTTAATGTTTGTGTCTAATGTGGCTTTCTCTTGAGCAAGTGTGCTTAGGATTGCAGCCTAAGGTAAATTATCGGAAAGGGACTATCCTAGGATCTGGTGTGCAGCCCAATCCTGTAAATTCTTACTGAGAACCTTCCCTCCCACTTTTTCCAAGGTATGTTCACATAAGACTGCCACTTTACAAATAGAGAAGATAGTGTTCTACTTCACAGAGGACACTAATCTATTTCAAGGTAACCACTATTTAAAGGGCTGTTGAGTCCAAGTCTGTTTTAATGATAATCAGTCATAAGAAAGGAGAGCAGGGGGCAGGGGGCAGGATGGTACTTGCTCATCCCCAGTCAGCACCTGGTTAACAGACTGAGCAGGCACTCACAGGTCACTTGAACATAGCCTTCCCCACTATGGTGAGATGCATTGTCCTTCTATTTAAATTACTATAATTCTTTCTAAATTTGCATTGATGCACATAAATTAGCATATGCAAATTCTACACACATCTATGCCCTCTTACTTAGCAATGCATGTGCTTATTTCATTTGCAATTTTCACTGATGCTCACTGAGCTAGAATTATTCAAATTGTTTTCGGTGACAAAGCAGTAAGCAAAATGGCCGAGGATGTTCTATTAACCTTCATGCTCCCATTAAAGTCAATGTCTATCACAATTAGACAGGAGCAGGGGATATAATAAAATGTAATCTCTTTATACATGGATAATGCGGCTATTCCATTTCTGATCCGGTTGTATCTCTTCACAAAACCCTACAGATTATCCCTAGTTACAGCCTTCATCACCCGGGGCATAAAATCAATGAGCAGAAATAGAGATTATTGGGCATTAAATATATCTGCTCGCCATATATATCCATGTAAGCAAAATTGCAATTTTTATTCATTCCTTGGAAATTTATTATCATAAAATACCTAGGACTAAAAATATATGCAGACATGTCAGTGAACGATATGAGCTGAGTAAATAAAACAATAAAAAAGCTCACAAACAAAAAGAAAAACCACAGGTGGTTAGGGAGGATCACTATAATTAAAATAAATGTTGCCTCAAAATTAAGTTCTCAATGAATACTATACCAATATTTATCTGACAGAAAATTTTGGAATTATTTGTCTAAAATAATTTATACTGGTGTGGGAGAAAAATCTCAGTGAAGGAAAGAAAATGATTGACTAGGAGATATATATATATATATATATATATATATATATATATATATTGTGTGTGTGTGTGTGTGTGTTAAGTAATTACAACTCTGAATATTTTCATTAATATATTTTCAAAATGAGAGCAGAAGACTGGACAGCTATTCCATTGCAAGCTCCACCATGAATGCTGAATAAGAACAGATTAGCCTCCATTACAGATAAACCAATTCTTTGGCTAGCAGTGTGAACTCAAGACAAACAGAATCATTTTTAAGCTCCATAATCCCCTCATTTGCATCCATGCTTTATAGTACAAACTTTAATTGGCATGAATAGAATAAGAATAGAATGTTACTGGGAGCATCAAAGCCTTTTTACAGTGTAATCCAATACATTCCTACTCAGAAGTAAGAACCCACTGACTTCAATGGACCATACTCCCGGGTAAGTGTGAAGAGGATTGCCGCCTGAAATTCGTGATTTCCCTTCCTCTGCTTGTAATTATGTTTTAAAACAAAAACTCTAACCAATGAATCAAAGCCCTCCGCTCTTCTATTTTTCCCACCACAACACTTTTTGCATGAAATAGATAAAAGAAAAGCTTTATTAGGAAGCACACATATTGGGAAGTTATTTAATTCAGAATATTAAAATAATTTTATGTTATAAAAATGCTTTTCCTAACACAATTTGGAGTTGGATGTTGCAAGGGAAATCTACTCTTATCATTATAAGAATAGTCACTCGTTTTATGTTTGTTTCAGTTTGAAAGACATAATCTTTCAAGCTTTCATATATAGAAACAACTAGCTTCTGTAATCTTGGGTGCCATTCAACTCTCCAGATAGTGATCCAAAAATCAGAACAATATTTGGATACGCAACCTAGCCCCCTTATGGGTAGTTAAGAACAAACTAGATCAGGGGTAGGCAACCTAATCGCCTTCTCAATCTGGCCCGCGGATGGTCCAGGAATCAGCGTGTTTTTACATGAGTAGAATGTGACCTTTTATTTAAAATGCATCTCTGGGTTATTTATGGAGCATAGGAATTCATTCATTATTTTTTTCCAAAATATAGTCCGGCCCACCACATGGTCTGAGGGACAGTGGACCGGCCCACGGCTGAAAAAGGTTGCTGACCCCTGAACTAGATGAAGTCCCACTGTGTGTGTGTGACTGGGGATGCAATGCTGGGGTGTATGGTTAAACACTATCCATCGCATTTTTCTGATTTCTCCCCTCCCCCTTGACTATTAACTGCAGGGGGGAAATATAAGTACCAGTACCTGTAGGTCTAAGAGCAGCTATGTGTGTGGTTTAGATCAGGAAAACAGCCCTGGTGGGGCATTTAAGGTAACTAAATAAATGAATAAATAAATCAGGAGATCGGACATGGATTTAATCTGTTTTGGCCCTCAGAAACTTCAAAATTGGCACATTTGGTCAGACATCATAATGGACAGCAAAGAATTAGCTGCTTCCAGGTAAGATGAACTTCTTTTCATTTTCATAATAATTATCTAGGACAGCATAATAACGTGGTTGCTCTTTCTCAATGAAATATCAGCATCCATTAACTGAATATTTTAAATAATACATACATTGATTTTAAGAATAAAATGAATTAAATAAAAAATAGCCGTCACTCAAGAAAAAAGTCCTAGCAAATGGAGAAAGTGCTTCAAGAAACCATGAAAACACAACATCAACCCCAGTGGGTCAGACACTGGACCATCAAGTCTAAAAGATCCAATCTTCTACAATGTTTGGGCTTTTTGTTCTGGCCTGAGCAACAGCTGACACTGAAAGGAAAAGGCTTTCATCATCCTTGGTCACTTATCCACCGGTTTCTCTTCTTATTAACCATCTTTTTGGGAATGGGTGTCATCTAAACTTCCTCTGCTGCAAAAATAACCTGCAGGCGGACAAGGCAGGGAGGAAGAAATAACACTTTCTGTTTTGGTGTGTCTTGTTCTTGAACATCTTAGGCCAGCATGAAGGCCTCTTTCTTCTGTTTTCCGAAGAACCATCCTTGGATGAAACAGGAGTGGGATGTTGCTGGAGGGTAACAAAATGTTAAGATGGATCAAATCCCATCAGCAAAATATCAGCTTGGGAGGGTGTTCTCCTTTGGGGTTAGTAGATTAGATCTCTAGCTGTTGTAAATAAAACCAGTAGTCAGTTCTGAAACAGTCAAATCAAGGACAGTCAGGATGTCTACTCAAGGAGCTCTTGGTCTGATTAAGAATGGTGACACTTGAAGCCTTCTCTCGTTGCCCAGATCAGGGGAAAGGTCAGACACCAAAGGTCTGATGGATCCAAAGTCTAAGGTCAGGAATCCAAACACAAAGGTACTTGAAAAATGAGAGTTAACCATATTAAACTGAAGAACTCAAAGCGCCTGGCAATAAAAACAGCCTCTGATATATTGTGACCATGCACATTGGCCGACAGACAACCTTCCAGGCAGCTGCTTCAGTTTTTCCAGCAGTGAGTACTGCCTGCAATTGTTTGCACCAAAAGGAGGGCTTGGCTTCAGAAATCAGGTCACTGTGTCTGCCCGTCCGCTGCACACTCGGGTATTATTCTGTATAAGCCACTTAAGTCCAAGCAACAGGGCACCATCCCTGCTTTCCTACAGCCTAAGAGAACCCATTGTTACAACTGGGTTATTTTAGGCTAAACGTTTTTTTCTCTCTCCCCACCCCCTCTCCTGGAAGGCTGTACCCTGCGGGGCTTACGCCATTTTAGTCTCTCACTCTTTCATTCTAACCTGACTGTCTCTCTGCTGTAGCCTATCAGCTTTCTTTCAACATAAAAGCAGCATCTTTTCAGAACAGGAAGTAAATGGCCTCCGCATAGTATGGATTCTCCCCAGCCCTGGAGCGCTTCGATGTTTATCATCATCTAGCATCACATGGTCTGAATTAATTACCCCAGTTCCCATTTCTGAAGACTTATCCCACTGAATAAAGCCAGACTGCTTCCACCATGATAGGAACATAATCACGTTCTTTTAGGTTAAATCGTACCGATTTACCTGCCTCGTATTTTCAAAAGCGAAATCGCAACCACAAAGTAAGATCTGATCCCATATGGCCTTACATGCACAGAAGCTGCCAGCCACGCCGCTCCTATCAAGATAAACTCACGGCATTTGGAACCTATTACAGCTCATCTGCAAATCCCTTTTCACTGATGTGCTACAGATCAGCCAGAGGGCAAGATTCCTGGTACACCAGGAGGAGGGAAATACTATTATCTTGTTCACCCTGACTGAAACTTGTTCCTAGCAAAGGTTTACTGCCATCCCAAAAGCATTGGCTGCACGTCCTTAGAAAAGCCCGATTTCCATAATCCACCAAAGAATGAATCATATGGCCAGAGGTCAGGCCCCTGGCTGATCTAAACTGGCAGAGCTTGACTGCTGCTTACTTAGCTGTACAAAAACAAACTGGTAAATGCGAGACAGGAACCTTGAAACAAACAAAGCATCAGGGATGGCAATTGTCTGCCGTTTCAAAATGCTCCAGATCTATTTGAATCTCTCAGCTCACAGGCAAGCAGGATAAAATGTACTGTGCCAGTTCAGATGGTGAGGAAGGGATGCCTTTTTTCTATTTCTCTGCCATGTAAAAAAGTCTATTGAAAGTCGAAAAGAAACTCCACGGAGAGAATATTTCAAGCCTAGCCTTGGCCCTGCTTTGCTAGCTTTCTACTTGTGGTGAGTTTCTGGACATATTACATATCCTCCAACATTCTCCGATGAAAATAGGGATGTTCTATGTAATAAAACAATAAACATTTTTTTAAAAACTTCCCTATACAGGGCTGCCTTTAGATATCTTCTAAAGGTTGTATAATTACTTATCTCCTTGGCTCCATATCATCCAACATTACTCTGATGAGAATAGGGATGCCCTAAGGAAAAGTGGGACATTCCAGGATCATATCAGAAACCGGTACGGCTTCTGTAAATCCGGGACTGCCCCTGGAACATAGGGATACTTGGAGGGTCTGACATTAACATGTATGATTCTTCACTTGTAGTGGAGTATCCCATTCTGCCATCTCCGGGTTCTGCCACCTCATTTAGCGGTATCAGGGCTGGCCTTACCATTAAGCAAAGTGAAGTGACCACATCAGGCAACAGGTGTCAGAAGGCGGGGAGTATGTTTTGGAGGTGTACCACAGAGCACACCCCGTAAGGCAGCCTACCACCTTCAAGTACAGTGGAGGACATTGCCTCATCAACGGTGTTGAAACTACATTCAAATGGCCTGTTCAGCTCACTTCTGTACAGTGGCGTAGCGTGGGGGGTGCAGGGGGTGCCGCCCACACCGGGCGCAACATCTGGGGGGGCGCGCTCGCACTCGCAGCTCTCTGCCCCTACCTGGCTCACTCACTCTCTCTCACTGCAGTGCTGGCTGTGCGAATCCGATCCGAGCCGCTGGGTCGCCGCCCACTGGGGAAGGGCTGGGTGCCAGGCGTGCGGTGCGGAGAGAGAGCGAGGGACTATCTGGGGGAGGGACAGTGCAGCGGCCGCCCAGCGCAGCGCTGAGCGCGGGAGAGAACCACACCAGACCAGACCAGGCAGCAGCAAGAAGAAGCTGGCAGCGGCGGCAGGTTAGGGGTTAGGGGGCGCAAATTACTTGCCTTGCCCCGGGTTAGGGGGCGCAAATTACTTGCCTTGCACTGGGTGCTGACAACCCACGCTACGCCGCTGCTTCTGTACATGGAATGTAGAAGGAGGCAGCCATCTTGTTATTTTGCTCAGGCAGCAAAATGCCTTAGGCCGGATGCAGGCCACACATGAAGTTCCTACCTGCGTAAGCTTTCCAGAGGCACAAGGTACATTTACATGTACGTAGCATGAGCACTGACCTGTTCGTGTCTAATGTCATCACACATCGATGGTGAGACCATAGGTAGAAGGCTGTGTGCAGTTCTGGTCTTCGCCTCGCCTCAAAAAGGATATTTTTAGAGACAGAAAAGGGTTTTTTTTAAGGGCAACCAGAATAATCAATGAGTCGCAGAAGCTCCCCTTTGAGGGGAGATTACAACATTTGGAACTTTTTTAGTTTAGGACAAATGATAGAGGACTATAAGACTGGCTACAGAGGTGTTTTTCTCTCACCTTCGTAATACTAAAACCCCGTGATGCTGAATTTTGAAAGGCTCAGGACAGAGAGAACAAAGTACTTTTTCAAAGAGTGCACTCCAGCTACTGAATTCACTCCGACAAGATGTAGTGATGGCCACCAACTTAGAAAGCTTTAAAAGAGGACTGGACAAATTTGGGGAATAGAAGGCTCCCAGTGGCTAATAGCTGTGATGACCATATTTTCCCCCACTGTCAGAGGCAGAATGCCTCTGAATAGCAGCTGCTGGGAATCACAAGTGGAGAGTGTGCTGGTAAACTCAGATGCTGCTCGTGGGCTTCCCATAGGCATCTAGCTGGCTGCGTTGAGAACAGGCTGGTGGACTCGATGGGCCTTTGGCCTGATCCAGCAGAGCTTTTCATATGGTCTTTCATAGTACTCTAGTGGCACACACACCTAGGCCGCTGATCACTCTTAGATATAATTACTATGTGATAATGCACATATATGTTAAGTGCATTTAAAAGTGACCAGGCCCATGTAGGAAGCTTATATAGGTAAGGGTGTCCCCTGTGACTTGCGTCAGGCTATGGCCTCACCTAGCATAAATGGACAAAACAATAAATGATTTGATGGCCCTCATCAAAGAAGAAACGACTAACCTTCTTGCCAGGAATAACTGGACAATAATTTTAACAGAGATAGTGGAAAGCAGGTATTCCGCTACTGGTACGGTACACCAGGGCCCAGCTCTATCATAAGGCAGAGAGAGGCAGCTGCCTCAGGTAGCAATTGTAGAGGAGGGGGATATGGCTCCAGCCCTTACCATTCCCCTGAGTCTGCTAACCTGCTACCTCCAGGTGCTGTGTAGAAAACACTGTACTATCACCAGTGCTGAAGTAAGCTAAAACTGCCAATCCAATTGGATTTTATATATGGGATGGGAAGGTGCCATTTTATCCTTTGCCTCAGGCAGTAAAATATCTTGGGCAGGACCTGCTCTGCATTCTGCATATGTTGACCATCTTATTCAGGGCCAAACTAGTCAGCATGGGAAACGTATGAGCACATTCTCTCCTCTGTTGTTTTTTTAAAACAAACAAACAAACAGCAACCATAAAAAGTCAGGGAGCAGAATCAGACCCAGGCAATAAAAATGTCCCCATGCATACAGCAGCTTTGGGTTAGCAATTTTCACCAGGATCATAGCATAAGACGAAGGTGTTACACCTGAGAGGTCCCGATCCTGACCGCTGTCTCCCCCTGCAATTGCTGCTTATTTTTAAAACATGAAGTATATTTGTACATTTAACTCATTGTCTAGTTTGTGTGGGCATAAAGCAGTTGCACAGCAGAATGAACTCAAAACACAAAAAGTAAATAAGCCTCAGCTAATTAGCCAGAGCTCCAAGAAACAAAAGACAATGGTCAGATCATTGGCTTGGCGGGTGTTTAAACAAATTTCAAGGAAGCTGGGATTATTTACCCCTGTTGCAATTGAATCTGGCCCACCATTTCCCAAGGAACTTATTTTAGAACAATTCAGGATTCATCACCAACCCCCCACGCTACACACAAGCCTGCAACTAGGTTCAGTTATGGATTTTATTATAATGTTAATTTAAATGCTCATTTAAAAGGAGATGAAGATGGAGGCTCAAGCAAGGAATGTTGTCAAAAGACAGTGAGTAATAAAATTAAGCAAGTATATTAAATTAAAACATGAGTTTTGTATTGGTAGAAATAATTGTATTTACAATCTTGGAGATTAAAAAACCCATTTATGTACTGGAAAATTGATCTACTTTCTTACTGCATTGATCAACATGCCCTTGTAGTTTATGTTGCAGGAGGGATTTTTCATTTCCCTGCCCCTTCTCTTATGTGGCCCCAATCCAGAGAAATATTCCCAAAGACTTGTGCACGATGTTGCACTTACTATGTCAAACATGGATCTAGTCTGGACTGCAGAAGTTTCTGTATGGGTCAAACTAGACAGGACACTAGAAAATGCTTCATTTTTTGTAAACCGCTTTAATGTATTTTTAAACAATCGAATGGTACATAGAATTTTACAAGATAAATAAATAAAATGTATCAGAGTAGTTTAAAATTTGTAGTAATAGATATGGGGGGGGGGGCAAATTTCATCCAGACTGCAATGTATAGGGAGAATTTAATCCTTCCCTCCTCACCCGTGTTCCTGACAAAAATTGCCTTTCATGCTGCTATTTGCCTTAGAAAACACACTTTCATTGGTCCCAATTAGATTTCTGTTGGGATCATGGCTGCGGTGGGAAGAGCTAAATCTCCCCTCTCTGCACTCTAAGATTCCACTGAGAATCCACCCAGCCATTATTACAATTTAGAAATTCCCGGACCTGCTTCCAAGTTTGGCCGTCAACCTTAATCAGCTCTCAGGTGAGACAGGTATTAGGAGAAAGGTGTGTCTTGGACATGAAACAAGGTCAAATGCAGCCCTTCAGTCATGTATGGAAGCCCAGTAGGAACAGTATAGGCGTTTTTGGTTCTGCTGCTTGCCTGAACAACAGACACTGTCAAGTGTCTGGCAGGACAACATACATGACTGTTGCACTGCAGTTGACTTGATGGGTCATAAGTTGTTCAGGCCTGCATTAAAAAAATCAGTCAAGACCAGATTTCCAGTCACTGTAAAATGGGAGACTGCATTAGTTGGTGGCTGGGGAGCACTTTTTTTAAAAAAGTCTTAATCATAAGCACAATGAATAGAATTCCAACTAAATCTCCATAATTTTGGGTGCTCCCAGACTGCTGTTATTTTCAGGTGGGATTTACTCACATACCAACAACTTCAGGTTGTGCAATCAAAGTTGGTTTGGTACTTTTGCTTAACAAACTCTCCACCCGCCCACCCCACCCCGCAACTGGATTTTTCTGCAATGAGGAAAGTGGTGGGAAAATGCCACAGAAAGTGGAGGATAACAATTGTTTGAGGCAATGTTGTATAAGCTCCCCACAAATAAACCAGAATGAATGCTTCATAAACAGCCAACATGGTTGTAAAAACAAACAAATGGAGACGTTTGCTCAATAAACAGGTTGTCTAGAAAAGACCTATATAAGGACATCCATACAGGCATCATATAAAGTAGTACATATTGAACAAGACAGAAACGGTGTTTGTCCCTTTCTTGAAAATGAGCTCTAAAAGCCAAGCAGAGGTGTGATCAAAATTTTCCTTCTATTCTGGATTAATGAATCTGTAATAATGACTACACCCTGGTTGGGTGTTCACAATGGCTAATGCTGTTTCGAATCATTACTGCCTCCCCCCTGCCCCCCATACAGGCATCCATCAATAGAGTCTAAGGAGGCTAACAGTAAGCTAAAAACAATCAATCAATACAACATAACATCAAAACCAAAAATCCAATAAAACAGTTAAAAGAACAGTGCTAGCAATAATTACAGTGCTAGCAATAAGTCCAGCAACAGTCCAAGACATTTTGCTCCCTGAGGCAGAATAACTAATGGCGCAATATCGCTCTCCCCACTTTTAAGGGGCAGAGTGCCCAAAATTGGCTGAGTAATTTGGGCACTTTATTTCAAACAATGCAGGCAGAAAATCTCATAGGTTTTTCCTCTGACGGTCAAAAAGTAACAATAATAACCTTTTCATGACATTCAAAATCAGCTGCCTGAGACAACTACTTCACCCTACCTAATGTTAGGGCTGGTTCTGCATCAGCCACCAAAGGCTCGGGAGAATAAGAACTAAAGGACTACAAGATTGGCTTGCATGAGTGTCACTGAGGAATTTCTTCTATAAACAGGGTACAATCAAAGAGAAGGCCCTGTTCACTGTTGCCTCCTGTGTTATTTATATAAATGGTATTAAAGTGATGCAGTACTTAATTCTGTTAATATGATGGTCTAAGCCAGGAGTGGGGATGGTGTGGCCTTCCAGATGTTACTGGAGTACTACAACATCTAACCATTGGCCACGTTGGCTGGCGCTCATGGAAGTTGAAGTCCAAGAATGTCTGGAGGACCACAGCTTTGTCACATCTGGTTTAACCAGGCTAGTAATATGCATATATGATTTTTTTATTTTTATTTTTGAACAGCACAGTGTTCTCCTGGGACTACTTTTATGTCCATTCCTGCCCCACTTTTTCCAATAGGCTTCTGCCTTTTAATCTTCATCTTGGGTTCACTTTACATGCAAAGCTGGATAGTATTTATTAAGCAACATAGACTGGGAAATTTAGCAATTATGGGGCAAGAATTTAGATCCCCTTATATAATGGTAACAGGCTGAAAAAGGCAGCAAAGAGTAGGACTAAAATAACAGGCCTTACAATGGAGGGAGGTAAGCAGTGGTGTTCCTCAAGGGTCTGTATTGGCTTGGGAATCCACAACTACTTGTTTATACATGATATAATGTTTGGGGTGAGAAGAGAAGTGGTCAAGTTGTGGCCAGCCACCCTTGGTACAAGGTGCTAGACTAGGTGGATGCTTAACCCGACAGAGCTCTTATATTTGTAAGAAATCTCTAGTCAATTCCCTCCTTCGTGATTCAGGCAGTGATAATTGGAGACATGAAGCTAAATTCATGAGCTAAATTTTCAAAAAAAGGCAAACAGCTCCTATGCTGAGAGAAGGAGGAATTCAAGACAGATTCTTGTATCCATCTGTTTCTACTGAGCTGAAAGTGGACTTCTGAGTTCAGATGCACATCTTGGGAATAAATGGAAAGGTGTCGCCTTTTCAAATTACAGCAGGCATAACCCCCCCCCATGTTTCCCCATATTTGGAAAAATAGTGAGAACAAGTGGACATAAAATGCCAGATTGGTTCCTGAATAATGAGGACACTGCTGTTGGTCCAGGACCAGAACAGGAGACCTGTCATCTGTAGGCCACTTGGTCTGATATGTCAACTTCACATCTCAAAGAGGCTGACATTCATTGTCATTTGATGTCCGTTTTAGAGATGTGAGTAATGAGGGTGAAAATTATTTTCTTTTCCCATCCTTTTGGGTATGGGTATTAACCAAATATTAACCAAATTCCCCTCCACTGCTTTTCGCCAGCAGGAAGTCAAGTCTTCTTGACTTGAGAGCAGAGCAAGGAAAACAGATACGTGGGCACCTGAAAGCCTCAGGTGCTGCAAACTGGTATTGGCCTCAAAGAAGGCAGCACCAGATGAGTATTCATCTACCGCAGAAAGCTGGGCAAAATGAAAGGACCGTTATGGATGGCAGATGGAGAGATGCACTGAGCTGTCATCACATCTAAAGGACTTTCAGAGAAAGCTGAACAGAGCCAGACAGAGCCAGCATGGACAGAAATGAAAATACAGAACCAAGCGAGAAATCGAGAGAGGTACCTTTTCTGATCACCATTAAGGAAAGGGTCATTAGCAGCACATCCATCAGGTCCATCGTGCATGAGCGTGCACTGAACAACAATGATCTTCAGAGCTGGGGAGAGGAAAAGGCCCAGCATGCTCTTCATTTCATTCTCCTCCTGACGTTGTGATTAGTTTCCATACAGTAGTTTACTTCGTTTGCTTGTGGTTTCAATCGTCAGGAAACTGTCAGTACACTCTTAGTCCTGGTGGCAACTCAAGCAGACTGAAAAGTGCAGCAATGTGAGAAAATTGTATTGGGGGTGGGGAGGGGGCAGGAAAGCAATATGAAACCCATGTGAAATAATGCTGGAGTGTAAGATACCACAGGCCACCAGCATTAGGATGTGCATCATCATGGCCAGAGGACACACACAAAGAACCAAGGTCCTGGTAGTTATACACATCATTCTTTGTCTCATAAGTAGATGCTACTGGAGTTGTCTTGTTATTTTGGCTCCAGGACCTTCATGTTCCTCCTCCCTCTAGATGCCTGACCTGTGAAAGAATAGTGTTTAGGTTTTTCTTCTTTTCAAAATGAAGATATTGATTTTTTAAATACAGAGCAAGAAACAAATCCCCAACCACCACCTTCCTGCTCCCTGGTCAAACCAGCTAGCGATATACAAATCATCGCAAAGTGCTTTCCCACATATGTCCCCATCTGCCAGGCAGGCAGAAACCATGGTCTTTCATTGTGGCGTATATAATAAAACAGGACCAAATGATATAGAATTTATCAGATGTGTATCAGATTTATTTGCATACACAGCTTGTGGGTCAACTTTTCCATTAATGCCAAGATCCAAGTTTGAATAGTCCAATCCCATAACAAGTTTCCAGCCAGGGTTCTCCGGTACTTGGCAATCGTCAGTCTAGCTGCTATGATGGGGTATATAACTAAGTCTTTACGAAGCAATGTTTCAACATCGGCATCAAAAACAGAAAGGAGTGCAAGCCTGGTGTCAGGTGAAAGTTTTTGTTTAGCTGTATGTTCCATTTCCTGAAAAACTTCACCCAAATAAAGCAACTTTGGAGCAAGACCACTGCATGTAATTTTAAAAAGCTGGTGGGCCTGCATTCTCTCCAGCAGCTGTTATATCTGCTACTCAATATCCTGCTAAGCCGCTGTAGATAGAAGTGCCAAGGATGGGTAGGTTTAATAGTGCTTTGCTTGACCCTAGCTGAATCTGACCAAAGAAGCAGAGCAACCCAGATTGCCTGCCATTCCTCATCAGATATAGGCATCCCTGTATCACCTTCCCAAAACTTTTTCAATCCATAATTAAAACCTGTAGGAGTCTGAGCAAGCATTTTGTAAAGCTTCTTTTGAATTCAAAAGAAGATCTAGTAGCATGGCTTTTGATCTCAGGGTGAGTTATTAAGTAGAAAGTATGATAGATATGTATGAATATTGGTCACTGACCATAATGAAGAGATTGATTGATAGACTGATGGATATGTATCCGATGAAATGGAACATCTTTTAATTTGGTTTGAATCACATCATCCTTCAGAAGTGCTGGCCTCGCTTAAATCACCACTTTCCCATTTCCTGAAAATATATCTATCTGAGTTCTGAAATAAAGGGTGTTCAGTAACGGGTCATGGAAGAGATGGAAGGTCCAAAAATCTAACCATGAGATCTGCAGATCGCCCTGGATCATTAACAAAATATTTTTAAAATGAGAGGCATTGTGCTATCACTGAAGGGTTGGCAAGGCCAGATATTTTTGACTGGTTGGAGCAAACCAAACTGCCTTTTGAAGTCACAGCCGCTTTTTACCATTTAATGAGGGGAGACTTGTGTATTCACAGGAGAATAGTTTGAAAAAGAAAAAGTAATATTGGAAGCCACATCATTTTTATGGCTGCTGTCTAACCCAGGCAGGACCAAGTGGCAATTTTCCAATTTTGTAATTGGAGTTTGAATTCTGAAATCAGCCATTTGTAATTTAGGGTAAAGTGTCCACAAAAATGCATGTATTAGTGAAAATAACATCAAAATATATTATATTAGAGTAATTTACTTGCAAAAATGTGTACGTTAGGCAAAAATGGATACAAAAATATCTTTAATTAGGAGAAATTCACACTAAAATGCTGACAAATTTTCATGAGACTTTTTTCAATCACAAATTCTTGTGGAAATGTGGAGAAGTGATTTTTTAAGATTGGAAAAATGAGAAACTTAGGGGACTGAAATTGACAGATTCGTCTATCCCTAACCACAACCCTCTCTCATCAAACCAGTGTTTTTTTTCTGGGGGGATGCAGGGTTACGCATACCCCTAAACATTTTGTGAATCTTTGTACTTTTGTCCGTTTACTGTATTTATTTTTCCCGATTTGAGCTATAAAATGGTGATTTTCTTGAGTCAAAATGAGAGTACCCCTAAACATTTTTTTTAGAAAAAAGCACTGCATCAAACCATTTGTTACCTGTAGTAACATCCCCAGTTGAATGGACAGCACATCCTGTGGCCTTTAATCTGGTGCTCTTACCCAGATAAATTAGAAGGAACCAGACAGGCAAAAGTATGTCACCTCACCCCACACTTTTAAAGTTACTTCTGCCCTAAGTCCTCTACACAAAGAAAACCACCACATGCAAGGCCCATGAAGTCTAACTGCTGCCCTCTAATGGACAGCAGCCAGCACTACAGAAATGCAATGGTGCATGGGGCTGCAGGATTGACATGGTATTGGAGACATATCGACCCACAGCAAATCATTATCTTGACCTTACTTTGGACATGATCTAGGAGGCTGCCACACTGTCGTTTATTTGTGAACTTGGTGCTGCTCCTGCATGCAAGTTCTGTGCAGTGTCCACACAACCTTGTACTCATCAGAATGCTCTCTCTGCCTGCCTGCCTGCCTGTCTGTCTCTCTCACATAGTCCATATTTACCATTTCTGCCTTTTTTCTTTTTGTTCCTTATTGATTTTCTGCAGATATGGCAGACTTCTCGCATTTTGATGAGGATGTTGTGTGGACACTGTGCAAAACATGTATGCATTAGCAGTGCCAAGTCCACTGCTGTGAGGAAGTCCCCCAAAGTCAAAATAAAGTAATGGCCGTTTCCCTTAACCAACGGAACTTAATTTGAGAAGACCATCTAAGAATCACTTGTCACTGTAAGGAAGCAGACAGTGTGGCTTCCAAATCTTGCGAGAAGTGCTGGCAAGTGGATGTGCTTCTGCTTCTTGCAGTTCCATTGTACTATCCAAATGGAAATACATGGGGGGGGGATGTGCAAGCCATATGCTTGAGCCAGTGCAAGAGAGTGGATTTTGTGCCAGGAGACACATGGCCCCAGTCATACACAAACACAATCTGTTGTGGGTATCAAGCTGCTTGGTTGTAACTCAGCCACAGAGGAGAGGAACCACTGCCATTTTTTAATTTGGAATGAGATTTCCGTATCAGATGTTCCCCTCTTCCTCTTTATTTGCTTGTTAAATTAGTGCAGGATACGACTGCCAGGCAGAAAAGGGCAACCCAAATAATCCATAGGCTGGAGAAACAGATGGCAGATTTCTACAGGCACTTTCAAGCCTCTCTTCACAGACAGAAACAAAAGATGAGAATTCTGCACTCAGAAAAACATTGTTCTGCAGTCCTGTGGTACTGTGGCTTTTATTCTGCCCTTCCCTCTATAGATGTATAATCTAGATTAGACAAATCTGAAATAAAGGCAGGAGGTGGAGGATGAATCTTTCCACCTAGCAGCACCGTGATTGTTCCTCCGTTCTGTTCAAGGCAGACATGGTGGATCTGTAGCCCTGCAGATGTTGTTGAACTACAACTGCTATTAGCTCTAGATAGCACCGTCATTGGTCAGGGATGATGAGAGCTGTCATCCAGAAAGATTGGGGGTCACACAGGTTGCCCACCCTTAGTGTAATGTTTTAATAGCAAGGCTGGCATTGGGGTAGAGAGAAGACATGTGACAGCAATAGCCATGACTGACTCCCACTGCAAGCTACATGATGACCAAAGAGAAGCTCTGCTTATTGCACCTGGAGACTAGTCCCTCCAGAATGTCCACCACAGCTATAACCTCGCAGCTGCCTTGCACCCCCTTCAGCTTCATTCACATCAGCATTCCTCCCTCCCCATGACGCCCAAAAGGAAATGTCACTCTTGATTATTTGTTAATTACTCACCACCCAGAGCCGATTATTGTGGAGGCACAGTAGTTAATGGCTGAGTTGATTTATACATCTTTCAATTTGCCACTTAACAGCCCCTAGCAATGACTGTCTTTACAAATGCCTCATTAAATTTCATTTAGTTAAATGTCTTTTGCCTTGTTACAGAAAGGATTTTTTTTTAGAAAATAGTTATCTCAGCTGGTCGGTACCTATTTTTCTTGTTATGTCTACAGGTTACAAGTGTATATGGGATTTGTAGCGGAACCTGCCAACTTTGCCTCTCCCAGTGCCTTGTTACTTGGAAAGAGGATCTTGTTGGTACATATTAAATGCTGAAATTGTGAAAATTTTAGTATTTTTGGAATGGATCACCTTGAGCAACCCTAAAAAATTAAGACACCCTGAAATGGAAAAAGGAGAGGCAGCCACAGGAATGTGTCTTTTGAAGGTCACGTGTATTTCAAAATGTGTTTTCTTGATGTTTTCATGGGGGCGGGAACCCTGATTCTCTGCCCTATTAGCACAGCTTCCAGGGTGGTTAACAACCATAAAAGCAATCAGAGCAATGAAACGAAAACACCGGCACAATGTAATTGGCAGTACAACCCTATGGATGTCTACTCAGAAGTGCACCCTGCTGAGGTCAATGGAACTAACTTCCAAGGAAGATGATTATAGAATTGCAGCCTAAAAGAGCAAAATGGAAACAGCAGGGGAAGATAAAAATAAGTGAGCGTAACCAGCAGAAGACCCACTCAGCTGGCATTTAAGAATGCTGGGGGAAATGGAAGAAAGCTCTCTGACTGGCAAAAGGAAGGTGTGAGAGTGAGGCACCAGCCAGGCCATCCTCTCTGAGGAAAGCCATCCAGAAGTGAGGCAAAGAAAGAGAGCGAGAGACTGAGAATGATGGGGGTAATATGTTTTAGCAATGGGATATG